ATTGTAGCTGAATATCCAAAAAGGAGTGAGGGGGAGAGATTAAAAATAATATCACTCATTTCTCAATATTGCATACAAAGGAAAATGAGCTGGATATTTCATCCGCTAGCAGTGCTGTTCGCTTATTCTTCCCCAAGGGATGTAAAGGGCAACACAACTTCTTGGGGAGGGTCGCAGGTAAAGCATCCATCTTGTATGCAGAAGGTCTCGGCTTCATTCCCTGACATTTCCTGGTAGGGTTGGAAATGTAGCCAATTTGAAAGCCTAGAGAGCCTTTGCCAGTTAGAGTAAGAAATTAAGAACTAGATGGACCAATGGTTTGACTCAGTATATGGCAATTTCCTGTGTCCCCAGCCCTTGCCATTAGTCTCTGTCCCTAGTGTGAGAGTTGTTAGGTAAAGGGACCCCTGACCGTTAGGTCCAGTTGTGACCGACTCTGGGATTGCGGCGCTCATCTCGCTTTATTGGCAAAGGGAGCTGGCATATAGCTTCCAGGTCATGTGGCCAGTATGACTAAGCCACTTCTGGCGAACCAGAGCAGCGCACGGAAATGCCGTTTACCTTTCTGACAGAGCAGTACCTATTTATCTACTTGCGAGGTACCACTGTACTTGCACTTTGACGTGCTTTCAAACAGCTAGATTGGCAGGAGCAGGGACCGAACAACAGGAGCTCACCCCACTGTGGGGATTCGAACTGCCAACCTTCTGATTGGCAAGCCCTAGGCTCTGTGGTTTAACCCACAGCGCCACCCGCGTCCCTTGTGAGAGTTGTTAGGGGACCCCTATTCCCCTCACAGAACTACAATTCCCAGGGTTCCCTGAGAGAAGGGATTGGTTGTGAAACCACTTTGAGAGTTGTACCCTCCAACATTTGATGAAAATAGGGACGTCCTATTCCATCATAATAATAATTTTATTATTTACACCCCTCCCATCTGACTGGGTTGCCCCAGCTACTCTGGGTGGCTTCCAATATATATATAAACATAATAAAACATTAAATATTTAAAAAATCCACTTCCCTATAGTATACAGGGCTGCCTTCAGATGTCTTGGATGTGATGGTGGCCTTAGAATTCTGAGTTCTTCTGAATGTGAGTCAGTTAGGAAATGGCATCTCAGTGGATTGGGAGCCAGATGCAAAAATTGGCACCTCGGCATAATGGATTCAGGGGCAGAGGAAGGGGTGTGTGGGCCGCCCCGAGTGTCACCACTGAGGGGGGTGACAAAATGCCGGGTGGCACTCACTGCAGGGCCTGCAGCGCGCCCGTGCCACACTTCTCTCCTGGGAGAGACATGGCGGCTTGCGGGCGTGCAGGCTCCATGCTGCCCAAATGGTCCGCCCGCTGCCTCCCCTCCAGTTGTGGGGAGGAGCGGGAGGAGTCAGGCAGACTCTGGAGGACCCACGGTGCACCCCACCTCTATGGTGGATGCTGGGATGCGCCCCACCCCGATCTGGATGCTGGGATGGCTCTACCATCAAGGCACAGCCCCACTTTGAAACCATAAAAAGCAAAACCTCTTTGAAACTACTTTAAGAGGTCTGGAAAAACACAAGAATAGACAAGTGCTGCTAGATAGGTCAAAGGCCCATGTAGTTCAGTATCCTGTTCTCACAGTGGCCAGCCAGATTGTCAAGCCAATATAGCCAGAATAAAAATCTCCCCTGCCCAGATCCTGCCTGCAGCCATGTGCAATTTCCAAAAACACCTCATGAGGAGGGAAACTTTCAACCAAGCTGGCAACTGACTTTGCAAGCGCCTTCTGCCAGATTCTTTGTCACTGCAGCTGTCAATGCAGCTTGTTTTACACTGCAGGGAACGCATTTAATTTCATCTGCCTGACACCTCCCACGCTACTTCTTAAGACTGTTACAAACTGCACTTCTGGGCACCAACATCACACCTGGTTTTCCTCCTCACACCTCCACCTGCCAGCCTGGTTTTTTAAATTAACAGGGTGGTGCTCTTATCTAACAATAGACCAGAGGTGGGGAATCTTTTACAGACCAAGGGCCACATCCTCTTCTGGTCAGCCTACAATTGGTCCCTTCCAATTTTATGATCCCATCCCATGCTATGTGAAAGTCATGGCTAAATTGTGTCCCATTGATTTCAGTGGGACCTAAGTTCAGCTGCTTAGTCCATATTCAATTCAATGTGCATAGCATCACTTAGTTCAGCTGGTCCTATGGGGTGGGGGCTGGCTCCCATTCTTTAGATGAGAATCTGTGATACATCATTTACTCCGGTTGGCGGGGGGCCTTCCTGCTAATTCTCAGTGGAGCCCCAAACATCTGCCCCAAAAGTCTTGCACTAGGTGCTCCTTTGGTTTAACATACTGCTGGATGATGGGGATCCAGAATAGCTGGAAGGAGGCCCTTTACACAGTGCACAGTTGAACTATGGAACTCACTGCCACAAGATGCAGTGGTGGATGCCAACTTGGATGGCTTTAGAAAGGGATGGGATAAATTCATGGCTACTAGTCATGATGTCCTATAGGACCAGAGGCAGTGTACCTGAATAACAGTTGCTGAGGATCATGCTATAACACTCAAATCCTGCTTGCAGACTTCCCATAGGCAACTGGTTAAACCCTCTATCCTGAGTAAGGTTACCAGATTTTTTCCAGTGAATCCGGGGACACATTTCAACTTCAATTGGTTTTGTATGGGGACTGATTTGTAAATCTGGGGACTGTCCCCAGGAAACGGGGATGTCTGGTAACCTTAGCCTAGAGAGCTCTGGATTAGATGGGACTTTTGGTCTAATCCAGCGGGGTCCTTCTTACATTCTTAACTGAAAGAAGAGCTTTGAAGAACTCAGAAGCTCACTTGCAACTTCTGTTTGCCCTTCAAAAGGCTATACGGTAGCTTTTGCAATGAATAATGAGCCGCCCATTAACCAAGTTGTGTGGGGCAATACTCAGACCCAGATGGCTCTTGGGGGAGGGGGAGGGAGTACAAAAAGTGTTAAGCTGCCAGCTTGTTTGCCTGAGATGTTCATTTACATTCCCTTCTAAAGCTGCACGCTCTGCCGAATTATTATTATGGTGCAATACAGCCAGCTAGTGGCGAAGACTGTTAGCAGCCCATTGAACCAATATTTTAAACCGGCAATATAAATTCACTGGAGTGTACATAAAAACAGTGCTAAAGACTACATGGATGTTCAGGTCTATTAAAGAGATTATTGGGAGAGGCGAGTTCCCGAACGGAACAGCCAGTCCTTTTATAATCACGGACTACCCATACATTATATTTGAATAGTAAGTCAGTCACTGGAGACTTGAGAGCCATCTGGTGGATGAGGAACAAAAATCTACCTGGGAGGTGGGGGAACCTGTGGCCCTCCCGATGTTGTTGAACTACAATTCAGGATGTACCTTCGGGTAACGTAACTTTCGGGTTGCGAACACAGCAAACCTGGAAGTGTATACTTCCAGGTTTTGCTGTGCGTGCATGCGCAGAAGTGCTCTCCACACATGCGCAGAAGCACTTGATTGTGCCGTGCGTGTGCACAGAAGCAGCGCCTCTAGATGCGGACTTTCGGGGTACGTACGGACCCCCAGAATGAATTAAGTTCATATCCGGAGGGTCCACTGTATCTGACTTTTAGAAGACATCTGAAGGCAACCCTGTTTAGGCAAGTTTTTAATGTTTGATGTTTTATCGTGTTTTTAATATTCTGTTGAAAGCTGCCCAGAGTGACCGAGGAAACCCAGCCAGATGGGCGGTGTACAAGTAATACAGTGGTACCTCGGGTTACATACGCTTCACGTTACAGACTCCGCTAACCCAGAAATAGTACCTCGGGTTAAGAACTTTGCTTCAGGATGAGAGCAGAAATTGTGCAGCAGCGGGAGGCCCCATTAGCTAAAGTGGTGCTTCAGGTTAAGAACAGTTTCAGGTTAAGAACGGACCTCCGGAACGAATGAAGTACGTAACCAGAGGTACCACTGTAAATTATTATTATTATTAGCCAACCTAGCACCATCTAGCTGCTTTGGACTACAACACCCATCAGCCTCAGAGAGCACTGGGGTGTCCACTACAGATGTGAGTTGTAGTCCAAAACATATTGAAGGCACCAGGTTGACAAGGTCAGGCAACTATTGTTTTATGTTGCTACAGCTTAAAAAAACACATCTTCTCATTTTTAACATTGTTGCTGGAATTGTATTATTATTATTATTGCTTTCTTTTGTTTGCAAATCATCTTTAAAGTTGGAACAGTAAGATCATCAGGGTTTGAAGGCACGCAATGCTGCAACCTTGCTGAAGTCACACAGGTCTGGTCAGTGCTGGGAAGGGAAGCCATCTGAGAGCAACACATATCTCACCTTGAGTTATTGAAGAAAGGCTGGATACAAGTAGAAAGGCAGACATCCACCTAGGTCATGCTTCAACTTGACCCACATAAATCAATGGACTTAAAACTTGCGTATTGAATTCAATGGGTCTACTCATGAGTGTGATGAACGCTGATTATCACCCATAATGAATAATCACGAATGCAAACGGCCGTCTTGCAGATAGCCACTCACTTTTGAAAGTATGGTTACCAAAAATTACAAATAGGGCTTGCATAAAATTATTCCATCAATGCTCTTGCTATATGCATGGTGCTCTCTGGAGGGAGGGGAAAGGCAGAATGAATCACTTGCATAACCATTGTAGGGAACTGACCTTTGGCCAAACATAATAGCAGAACTGAAAGACTAAGACTTTTCTTCTGAAATTAGTTTCTGATTTAACTGCCTTAACCAGATTATTCCAAATCAGCTATTATTGGCTGAAGTCATTCTACACAGGAGACTCTGCAACCACTAAATATATATAGAGAGCGCAATCTAGAAACTGCTTAAATAGCTTCAGGTTAAGAACAGTTTCAGGTTAAGAACGGACCTCTGAGGTATCACTGTATAATGGACTGGTCAGTCACAGAGATTACAGGAATGTGGCCATTAAGTATAAATGTATGACTCTTATGTATTAATAATAATAATAAATTTTATTTATACCCCGCCCTCCCCAGCCGAAGCTGGGATCAGGGCGGCTAACAACAATCAAAATAATCCAGCATTCTAAAAACCTTTCATTATAAAAATTAATTAAAATCAAATTTATGGCAACCCTTAAGCAAAATTCTGTGCAGATTGCCAGAGGGGCTCAGGCTGCGCCCTGACCAAAGGCCTGGTGGAACAGCTCTGTCTTACAGGCCCTGCGGAAAGATGTCAGGTCCCGCAGGGCCCTAGTCTCTTGTGACAGAGCGTTCCACCAGATTGGAGCCGCGGCCGAGAAAGCCCTGGCTCTAGTTGAGGCCAGCCTAACCTCTCTGTGGCCTGGGATCTTCAGGATGTTTTTATTTGCAGACCGTAAGTTCTTCTGTGGGACATACCAGGAGAGGCGGTCCCGTAGGTACGAGGGTCCTAGGCCGTATAGGGCTTTAAAGGTTAAAACCAGCACCTTAAACCTGATCCTGTACTCCACCGGGAGCTAGTGCAGCTGGTATAGTACCGGATGAACGTGATCTCGCAGCGAAGACCCTATAAGGAGTCTCGCCGCGGCATTCTGCACCCGCTGGAGTTTCTGGGTCAGTCTCAAGGGCAGCCCCACGTAGAGCGAGTTACAATAATCCAGTCTGGAGGTGACCATCGCGTGGATCACAGTGGCTAGCTCAGGGCGAGAGATAAGGAGCCAACTGCTTAGCTTGGCGGAGATGAAAAAATGCCGCCTTTGTTATAGCTGTAATCTGCGCCTCCATAGAGAGGGAGGTATCGAAGATTACACCCAAACTCTTAACGGACGGTGCTGGCACTAATTGCACCCCCCGCAAGAGATGGGAGTTGCCCCCTCAATCCCATATCGCCCTGTCCCAGCCAGAGGACCTCTGTCTTCGAAGGATTTAACTTCAACCGGCTCCCACGTAACCATCCAGCCACAGCTTCCAGACATCTGGTCAGTGTGTCTGGGGCCGAGTCAGGATGGCCATCCATCAACAGATAGAGTTGGGTGTCATCAGCATACTGATGGCAACCGAGCCCCAAACTCCAGACAAGCTGGGCGAGGGGGCGCATAAAGATGTTAAAAAGCATCGGGGAGAGAATCGCACCCTGAGGCACTCCACACACCAAGGAGTGGTGCGATGACAATTCCCCCCCAAGCGCCACCCTCTGTCCCCGACCAGAGAGAAACGAGCGCAGCCATTGAAGGACTGTGCCCTGGATCCCCACGTCGGCAAGGCGGTGGTCCAGGAGTTCGTGATCGACCATGTTGAAGGCTGCTGACAGGTCTAGAAGAATCAGCAGCCCCAACCCACCTCGATCCAGCTGCCTGCGGAGATCTGTTAGGGCGACCAGAGCCGTCTCGGTCCCATGACCAGCGCGGAAGCCGGACTGGAATGGATCCAGAGCCGATGTTTCATCCAGAAACCTACCAAGCTGTTCAGCAACCGCTCTCTCAATCACCTTACCCAGGAACGGAAGATTCGAAACCGAGCGGTAATTAGATAGATCTAAGGGATCTAATGACGTTTTCTTTAAGAGCGGGCGCACCACTGCCTCCTTCAGTTCCCCTGGGAATATCCCGGTGCCAAGGGACAAATTGATATCACCCAGGGGGGCCCGCACCTCGTCTGGACACGCTCTAATCAGCCAAGACGGGCACGGGTCAAGAGGACAGGTGGTGGGCTTTCCAGCTCGGAAGAGTCTGTCCACATCGGCTAGGGATATCCGGTCAAAATGGTCCAATACTGGACCCAAGGACAGTCGAGGGGCCTCCAGTTCCTTTATTGTATCCAAATTGGCAGGGAGGTCATGGCGGAGCAACAGGACCTTCTCCGCAAAAAAGCTCGCAAATGCCTCACAGCTGTGTGTCAAATTGTTATTTAAATTTGGCTGTCCTTCAAGGGATGTTAAAGACCTAATTATGCTAAATAATTGCGCCAGGCGAGAGCTAGCGGAGGCAATGGAGGCCGAGAAGTAGGACTTCTTAGCGGCCTTCACTGCCATCTCGTAGGTTTTCATAAAAACCCTATAAGATGTTCTTGGGGCTCCGTCACGGGCACCCCGCCATACTCGCTCTAGCCGTCTAAGGCCATCTCTCATAAGGTAACAGTTTCCCCTTCGCACACCCAGGTCTCCGTCACACAAGCCAGGTCAACCCCCATGAGGTAGGCAAAACCTCATGTCATGTCCACAAGAGAACTGCAGATTATAATTTATCAGGAGGCTCCTTTAATGAAACTTTTGAAACACAACAAATCCCAGGTGCCCACAGCAATCTATAAGTAAAGTCAGTGTACAATTTTTCTTTGGTAACAAATGATTTCATTCTCATAAATAGATGATTCATGTGTACACGCCGTGCACCAGGGAAGACAATGCTCCACATAAAAGCTTATTCTACTCCTCGGCTTCAGACCCTTCGTCATCATGGCTGATCTGGAAATAACGCAGTTCGTAGGTCTCCTTGTCAGACGCAACCACGCGTAGCCAGTCACGGAGATTGTTCTTCTTGAGATACTTCTTTGTGAGATACTTAAGGTACCTTTAACACAAAAGGCCAAGTGGTTTTAAGCGTATGATGTAATTTGATCACAAGCGTTTACAAAGACGTGATACAAGACAGCAGTCGATGACTGAGAAAAGCAACAATGATTATTTGTTGAGCAGCTGACCCTTAAGACGTAGCCTGTCTAGCAGAACACCTAAGTCTGCAATTCTATAGACAAGGGAGAAATTTTAATGGTGCCCAATGAGGATTACTTCTGAATAGACATGTATAGGGAACTGAACTCAGAACCAGAAAGTTCCCAGTTGAAATTTGTTGTTTGTTGTGAACTCACTGAATGGACTTAGGCAAGCCACTACTGTTATCTGCCCCATTTACAACCAGGAGGTCAAGCAGACCCACCTTACAAGATTGTTGAAAGGCTGAGAATTATATGAAAAAATCTGAATCTCTGAGGTGCTATATAAATACTATTACATGTGATGAAATGAGGGACGCGGGTGGTGCTGTGGTCTAAACCACAGAGCCTAAGGGCTTGCTGATCAGAAGGTCGGTAGTTCGAATCCCCGCAACGAGATGAGCTCCCGTTGTTCGGTCCCTGCTCCTGCCAACCTGTTTGAAAGCACGTCAAAGTGCAAGTACAGTGGTACCTCGCAAGATGAATGCCTCGCAAGACAAAAAACTCGCTAGACGAAAGGGTTTTTTGTTTTTTGAGCTGCTTCGCAAGACGATTTTCCCTATGGGCTTGCTTCGCAAGATGGAAACGTCTTGCAAGTTTGTTTCCTTTTTCTTAACACCGTTAATACAGTTGCGACTTGACTTCGAGGAGCAACTCATAGAACGCGGTGTGGTAGCCTTTTTTGAGGTTTTTAAAGACTTTGGTGATTTTTGAAGCTTTTCCAAAACTTTCCCGACACCGTGCTTCGCAGGACGAAAAAATCGCAAGACGACAAAACTCGCGGAACGAATTAATTTTGTCTTGCGAGGCACCACTGTAGATAAATAGGTACCGCTCTGGCAAGAAGGTAAACACCGTTTCCATGCACTGCTCTGGTTCGCCAGAAGAGGCTTAGTCATGCTGGCCACATGATCTGGAAGCTGTACGCCGGCTCCCTTGGCCAATAAAGCGAGATGAGCGCTGTAACCCCAGAGTCGTCCGTGACTGGACCTAACGGTCAGGGGTCCCTTTACCTGTATCTTAAAAGATGAACTTAATTCACCAAAGGATGAGGGCCATAGCTCAGTAGTAGAGAATCTGCCCCCTAGGCAGAAGGTCCCAAGTTCAACCCTCAGCATCTCTAGACAGGGTTGGGAGAGCCTCAGTCTCTGAAACCCCAGAGTGCTGCTGCCATCAGCCTAGACCAGGCATGTCCAAAGTCCCTTTTGGGGGCCTCATCCCGCCCCTGTGGCAGCTCAACAACTTTGGTTGGCCCTTGCGCATCAAATCTGGCCCTCTTTGAAAAAAGGTAAATGGTCTGACTTGGTATGGGACAGTTTAATATGATCCTATGAGTGACCAATTGAGTAGGCAAAAACTAGACCACTCCAGGAATTGCCAAAATATTACACTGCTCTCCCACAAAAAACAACAACCCAAGAACACATATTTGGAAATCAAGTGAAATTCATTAGCTTCCTTTCAAATATATCATACTAGTTAAGAAATCAACTGTAGGAAGCTGAGCAAATTAAATAGCCCAACTTTGTCTTCCAGGTCTCTTACAAAAGCTGGTATTCCAGAACAGAACTGCAAATAGTCTTTAGGTGTCAAGTGTGCGCTTGGCACAGACACACATGCTAAAGACACGAGATAATAAACAGCCTCAAATGCTGCTACTTCAGGTTAGCTTAACTGGGGAATTTCAACTAAAGCCACATTTTAAATTTGTTTACAATTCTTGCTACGTGTCCTGAGGTTTGAGCTAAAATCAGAAAGAAAATCCCACCACACAAAATAAAGAACACCCACCTTTTTGAGAACTGCCTTTCAGATGTCACTGTGATTTTGTTCTTAAAGCGTTCAATATGAACTACATTTCCCAAGTTTCCAGTTTTTCCATTGACCTTAACTTTTTCCTTCAGGAACTGTTCCTAATTCAAGAAAAACAAAAAAAATGCAACACTAGGGAATGGTGCCCTAGATGTGGAACTAGGGAAGTGACCCTAGCCAGAAAATCCATTATTACAGTCACAGAATGCAAATAAATCATGCAAGAATCATAATAAATGAATAGAAATATTCCTATTAATGTAATTCATAACCTACAATATCTGTCTCTCTCTATATATTTATTTTAAGATACCAAAACATTGGTAAGATACATAGTCATTTGGTATGGAATCCATCTGGATTATGATTAAGATAGTCACTAAGCCAGGCTAAATAATTATCCCATCCAGGTCTGTAATCCAAACCTCCCTGCTCAAGCAAAGGTAATTGCAGGCAGTAAGAATTAAAACAGGATGTGATTAATTGGCTGGTAATGATTTACAGTTGTAGGAGTCAAATTCTTACCCATAGGCTGATTTGACTAAAGGACAACTATTTATCATGAATTTTACTATAAACACGCACAGACTTAATTTCCTTTAAAAGAAACCTCAAGCATTTGAATTTTTTAGCTTCCTTCCTTAAGTTTCAATGTATGTTGCCATTAAAACATGACCAAAGAAGTGTGAACAGCAGAACTACTTACAAAATTTCCTGAATCAAATATTCCATCTTCTACAGGATGGGTAAGGTCAAGGCTATACTTGCAAGTTGATTTTTTCAGTTTCTTGTCCTTTTGCTAAAAGAAAACCAAACATGCCCCTGAAGTTAGTATTTATTTTATGATCCTTATCTTCGATCAGTATAGTCAAGAGGAAATATATACCTCATATATCAGACATGCCTTAATATATTTATCTACTTAACCAATATTCTTTATCCAGTAACTTTCACTTAACACAGAAAATATATTAGCAATCAAAATTTCATCACCTACCCTTACGGACGGTGCAAGCCAAGCACAAGAATTAACAGCTCTTTAATAGCTAACTTTGCTTTCCTCTCAAAGGGCTAGGGACAACTTTTTTTGTTACCCTATTTTAGACTAAATTAACGGAGGACCTTGCGCCAAACAAACAAGAGCAGTTTCTGCCACGAGCACCAACTAGAATCCAAAAGGCCCATATCCAGGACCTGTGAGGTGGCAGAATCTGTCCAGTCAGGGCAGTCAATTGGTTAGAATGCTAGACTAGGATATGGGAGATTAAGGTCAACCCCTCACTCAGCCATGAAGCTAACTAGGTGACCTTGGGCCAGTAACGACCTCTTCGCCTAACCTACTTTTAAGTGTTCTTGTGGGGATTCAGTGAGAGGAAGAAGGATGTACAGCACCTTGAATTTTTGCTAATTAAACACTATGGTCTTTTAAATGGGGGAGGGGGAGGGAATTTGGTTTTGTTACTATGTATTTTTGTGTTTTTATATTGTAAGCCACCTTTTGATCCTCCGATGAAGGGTTTATAGAAATTTAATAAATAATAACTCCTGGGAGGGGGAGGTTGGACTTAAGTGCTATGGAAGACCAGGATTAAGTGTCATTCCTTCATTTGTGGCTATCATAGCACTGGGCTACCCCCCCCTTTCTTCTGATGTATACCTAATGTTAAGATGTACAGTGGTACCTCAGGTTACAGACGCTTCAGGTTACAGACTCTGCTAACCCTGAAATAGTACGTCAGGTTAAGAACTTTGCTTCAGGATGAGAACAGAATTTGTGCAGCAGCGGCTCCCATTAGCTAAAGTGGTACCTTTGGTTAAGAACAGTTTCAGGTTAAGAACGGACCTGCAGAACGAATTAAGTTCTTAATCTGAGGTACCACTGTATACCTAAAGTTAAGCGGTGGTAATACACAAGATGCAGAACTGGGGACACTCATCATTTACTATTGCCAACTGACATTTATTTATCCACGGGCTTTTCAAGATTTCCCATGTCCCTTTATGGATGTCCTATGCATTTTTGCTGGAGCAGCAAACTTGGGTGACCTTCAGATGTTGCTGGACTCCCAGACAGCGGAGTCCAATGATCAAGAATGAACTCAAATTGCAATCTTGCAACATCTCCCTTTGCGTGAGAGGATTAGGAAACCCATCCCCGAAAAGCACGACGACGTGAATGAGGTACCTTAGAAAACTGGCAATGAGTTAAGAAAGTTCTTCGCAAGAGCCCTCCAGACCTTATTTCGCATTATGTACGTGATCTTGCAAAACGTGTGTGGCGCCCATGAACTCAGGGTACCAAACACGACAGGCAATCCCACTGAATTCAACAGGCTTACTCCCAGGTAAGGGGGGTTTGGGGTCACAGCTACACAGCAGCCTCCCAACAGCCCTGCAAGGCTTACTAGTGTGTGGGAAATGAGCAGGCGAGGGAGGGAGGAGAGAGGAGGGAGCAGGGAAGCCTTCCTGCCCTCCTTTAACCCACGCGTGTCTCGCGCCACAGCCCGCCCGGCACAGAAACTCACCGGCGCCATCTCGGCCAGGCAATGGAGAAAGGGAGGGCGGAAGCATCGCGGCCGAACTTTTATAGATACCGGCGCCGTGACGCAATGACGTACAGCGTGGACCACGCTCGAGGGATAGAGGAAGAGAGTTGACGCTCGGATCAGGGAAGAGGGGTAATACTTCCGGGTGCCGTGCGCCCGCTCGTTTCCGGTAACGTGCGCACACCGGAAGCTGCCTGATACAGATTCCGGCCGGCGGGTCCTGGTGTCTCGGCGCTTCTTTATTTTGGGGGATTTTCAATTTTAATCAATAAAAATAAGAAACCCAAGGAGCGCGAGGAAGAACCGACTGGAAACAGCTTTCCAGGGCAATAGACAGAGGGCATACGCAGCCCCGGGTGGAGAGGCTTGGGACTGGAGTCCTTCTGAATGCCGAGCGAGGCTCTACCTCCGAGCGGCACCTCTTCCCAAGGTTCCCTACAATTGCTGTTGGATTTTTGGAACCACACTCTGTGTGGAAATGCCGCAAGGCTCCACCACACCCACCCACCCCGCATTTTAATGCAAGCAAGCTATTCTTGGAAAAGCGCTTCCCAATTAGACAAGTACTATTTAGGGTTGCCATATTTCAAATGAAAATCCGGATTTTAAAATTTTTTTCCAATTAACAAATCAAAACCAAAATAAATTAACACAATTGTTATTATTTGAAAAAGGTTTCCTGCTTAGGATTTTCCTGGATATTTGACTGATTTCCACCGGGAAACTATTCTGGATGTATGACAACCCCAAATACTAGCTGGCCAAAAATCTCTGCCCACCTTTGAAGTAACAGTGGACTACATTACAGGGGTTCAAGAAGCCCCTTCCAACCCCAAACCTCTCCCCTCTTTGCAATGCAGTAGATATTATCAATCAGTTTTAGCTTTTGGGTGTCAGGTCCTCCCCAACCTTGTTTTACAATGGGAGAAATATTGGGCACCTTCGTGCTGTCCAAGCAAATATATTTGCTCAGGTCAGTTTTTATTGGGCAATCCACAGCAGCTTTCCTTTTCAAGTGAGATTGTGATCAATGATGTATGCTTAATAAAGAAACTACAGTACGGCCATATCCTTATAGAATTCATAATCTGTGGAAGTGCATATACAAGGCATTTATTAGCAGCTGTAGGGGAAAAAGTCAAGAGAGTAGCACTTAGGTTCAAACTTTATTCTCATTTGTGATCCAAATCATAATTCAAACTTTTCAATAAAACAGTCGTTAAAAGCCAAGAACTCTTAACACATGAATACGCTATTACAGAAATGCAGAAAAAATACAAACCTTTCAAGTTTTGCTTTTAAAGTCAAAAGTCACTCCTGTACAATGAACACTGCATCCATTTGCTAGCCAGTAGGTATATTGCATACTTGTCTGAGCTACTGTATGTGGCAAATACAAAAACCCCTTCTCCCCACACGTTGTTTACAATTATATGTTAATGTAACAGTCACTGATCATGAGCGTTCACTACAAGACCTAGATAAAACAATGTAAATAAAAGCCACAGAGATCATTGTCCGAGTTGTACTGTGGAAATGTGAGTATAATGTAAGAGAGTCATATGCTTTACACAGGATAAAATGTTTAAGCACAGCTTGTTCTATGAAAGTTTCCAGACACAGCCAACATTTCCATACTTAAAGCTTACTGCAGTCAAACATGTCATCTAGTCACTAGAATAGCTTGGTCACAATGTTTGACTGTGTTAGACTAAGGTTCAATGTACTAGAACTCTACTTGCATCATAGGCATGCTATAAATTTATGGAATACAAAACCCTGTAAGACTTTCAAGCAGCTTTGTTAAAATAATCAACTTAAGCTCTTTCAATTCTTCACAAGAGCAGCCCTGAGAAGAGTATATTCAAGTCATGGCTCAACTAGCAGTGGTTTTGTTGAACAAAGACACAACAACACATCAAGAGGTAAAGTTGGGTTTTAAAAAAGAAGTTCCTAACATCTGAGGCAAGAGAACCTACAGCACACTGAACAAAACATCAATGGACCCAAACAAGAAAGCTTGCACCATTACAGAACAGCAGCAGGACTGAGTTGCTCATATCAACAGCCTTAATTTTGGCTTACAGCTTGTTAGAAGAGCTTCCACCTGCTCCAACAAAATACAATTTGTTCCAACTATGAAGTAAAAACCATTTAAAAGTGAATTTAGAGAAACATGATTACCCTGAAATAGCTTAAATAACCTGAAAGATACATTATTAAGCTTTTATTAGCAAAGTTAGTTTATTGTAAACCTGGTGGGTTTGTAGAGACTGCTCTCTACTAATGAAATGGCTTTGCTATTGTCTTATTGTAAATACTGTAGTTTTTACTGGTGAAATGACATTGCAAAACCTGTATGCAAAAGAGTGCCATACAGATCTACTTAGCAGATTCCCCCCCCCCCATCTAGTCTATTCTGTGGTTCCAGATTGCTAAAAGTCAAGTTGAAATTAAGACAGTATGTTTTCCGAAGTATAAGAGGGCACTTCAGTATCACATTTCCAAAAGCCACCTGCCTCTACACATTTTAGTTGCATACGTCCTTAAGATGATGCAAGCAGTTAAGATGTTAGTAGGACTCTTCAGATACTATGACACCAGTTTACTTCTCAAAACTGTTCACATTCATGACTAATGATACTAGCTGAGTCCATGTTTCAAACTGAGACTTCTCATTCAAACCATGAATATTGAGAATCAACTATCTAGGAACACTCACATGATTAGACTAAATATGCTAAAATCCTTCAGCTTTCCAGTAGCCCTAGATCTTGAAATATGTAGTTATTTACTACATCAAGACTGTGCTTTGTTCGAGTGTTTATTGCCAAATCAATCTGCGTTGTGCCCCTTCTCTGCATAGATACTTATAATATAGAGCCTACCATTAGACCCTGATGCAGTTCATTTACACCTGTTGTCTAACTAACTTCACTGATTAAAGGGCAACCATATTCCTAACTGAAGCTCAAAATCCTGTTTCCTATGCACACAAAAAGCTGCCAGTAATGAACTAAGCACGTTTTAAGAACCCAGTCACTAGTTCAAGTTAGTCAGTTGCTACCAATATTTAAGGCAAATTTAAGTTAAGTTGGTGTCCCGCAAAATGCTAATGAAGCAGAAGCATGATCTTACAAATTTGAAGGTCATGTAGACAAATTGTCTATTAGCGATTAGGCATTTGCCTGTTCAGTGTAATCAAGTCTTGCACAAGTAGATTGTGAGTCAGAGTGACCCTTTAACACAGCGCTGAAGTTCTTGTACTTGATAGAGCACTCTGTCATAGTTCTTTTTGGGACTGTACAACCCATGACCTAATTTCAGTTGCGTGAAACCAGGCTCATATTAAGCCTTTATACAAGCTAGTATGTGCACTTTTGATCCATTAATAAAAAGTCAAAAAGTCTATTTGTGCTACAAAACTAAAGAGTTAAAATCAAAAACAAATATGCCTAATACTGAAACACTTGAGGCATTCCCTTCTTTTAAACTAGAAGAGTGGCTGAACTCCATGTTGAAATCAAAGGCCTCTAGTGAATCTCCTCTCCCTCCCTCCCACCCCCAAGCTTTTGTGCACTATTAACCAGAGTATGAAAGCATCCAATATTCTGGATGTTTGCATCACAGGCAAATGGTGACATGTTAAGAGTGAGCCAGCCAGCAAGACTACAGATATAAGTTTGTTGTACATGGCCATCAGCACTGGCATTTTGATCACGTGAGTTCCCTTGTCTCCAGCTCAATGACTATTCACAGTTCAGTGCAAGCCACATTTCACCATATTTTAAGATAAAAGTGGTTATTCGCATTTGTTTAAAATGTTGCATTTGTTTAAAATTTAAACACTATTCTTACTTAAACCCAAACTTAGTACTACCTTGGTATTGGCACTGCTATACAGTCTCATTCGAGCAAAGCATACTAGTTAATACCTCATGATCTAAAATGACAGTTTTGACTGCCTTGCCATTCCTGTAAGCACTTGAACTTCAGCAATTTTAATATTGCCAAATGGCTTGCAACATTAGCCAGCACTATTTTCAAACAAAGACACGAGGTTGCTAGTGAAGGTTATAGCTTTGGTGATAATTAGAACTAAAATAAGAAATCTGCAGTTGCTGAGATATGAGCAGCTGCTCAAATCCAGATGGTCCTATTTGCAAGGTTTTATGGCTACAGCACATTCTTCACTCATTGCACACATGACTGATACCTAAAGGAGAGAGAAAAAGCATTATTAGGATACACAAAACAGCTATTACATTTACAACAAGTGTTGTGATGGCAATAGTTGGGTTCTAGCACCAGTATTCCAATTTTAGTCAACCTCCCAGCAAAAAGCTAATCACAAAGCACATAATTAAGCCAATCTAACATAATAGTAGCTTGAGTTCAGGTGAAAAATAGGAAGGAGAAGTATTTATAATAAAGACAAGCTGAGGAATATAACTTTAACTTATCCTGATCATCTAGTTTAGGAGGGCACTGATATCATTTCCATGTAATTATTTTGGCACCAGGTTTTTTACAAAATGAGACAGCGGTTCCCAATTGGAGGTCTGCATAACCTATCCAGGGGGGTCCATGGCTCATCAACTGCTCGGGACATCTCATTTTTTTAGGGCTATACTCTTGTTTAGAAGACGCACATCACAGTTGTGCTGGGACATTTTGCGGGGTATGGTGTCACTACTGACGTAACAAATATTACATTTTCAAAAGTAGGGGGACCTTGGCTTGGCTTTTGAGAAACAGGCAGTCTACAGTACTTAGCTACTTAGGAACCACTAGATTTACATGTTGGTTTTTGTTACTAGTGTGATGCCAAAGCTTCCCATGGCTGATACGTTCTGCTCTGAAGGTATAATGTATTTCTATTTTAAATGTGTTGCAAGTTGCTTGGAGACCTTCAGTTAGTAAGCAATTAAAAAGTATAACAAATAATATGAATGAAGAAAAAACCAACTGCAATTACAAGAGATAAGCCACTTATTATTTCAGAATAGAAAACTAATTCCACTTTATCCCCCTTTCTTTTCTCCCCATTAAAATAAGGCCCAGGAAGTTATTTTAGATCAACCGTTAGCAGCAATAAAGTACTTTCAAGGTAACTTGGGTGTCAAAAGAAAAATAAAACCCCAGACTTTTTCAAACCTCAGATTTTACCTGGAAATCTTCGCCTGCATTATACTTCCCCTCTATTTCTTTGCCTAGTTCACCTTCTGGCACCTTCAGATCCTCACGAACTTCACCACTTTCTGTCAGCAAAGAAAGATATCCATCCTGTATACAGATCAGCTGCAAGAAATTAACAATTCCAATTCAATATTATTTATAATTGAATGAAGTTCAGTCAAAAGTATTGGCATATGGGCATTGCTTTCTGAACTTAGCATTTTGCTTCTGATTGCTATAGACCAGTGGTTTTCAAAACTTTTTTCTCTGGACCACACTTTCAGAATAAAAATGTATAAAACAATGTGAATGAGAATATGAATCATTCACATATTATATTTATTGACTGTCCTGGAATCTTTCTGCCACACTTGCCATTGTCTCCTACTATATCAATGTGGCACACCACACCGTTTGAGAGCCACTGTTACAGAAGAACAACCTTGCACATTTCTAATACACGGAACCCAGTTTCAACAGTTTTTAGTTCAAGATCTATTCAGTGTGAATCACAGCTTTAGTCACTAAAGGGATAAAGCTAAAAATGCTGTATTCAGTAGCACTTTCTAGCAAAAGCAGCTTTGAAACTGAAAAATATAGTAAGATGATCTAAAACTGCCAATTAATTTTATATGTGGTTCCAAATATTGTTATTGGCAGATGTTCTGCAAATGTAATTTGCTTCAAATATTCCTGAATATTTTATAGCAAAGCCTATTGAAGAAATTGCTACCATATTAACCCAGCATGAGATATTTCATAATGCTGCAAAGTACCTGAAAATAGTTCTGCTAACATACACTATGCTCTGTATTTAAACATATACATCAAAGCAAGGAACTGCACAACAAAATTGCACAAAATTTTTAGTCTGACAGAAACAATTCATCTTAGTCTGGACACAAGGGGAATATTTAGGGCCACTTGTTTTATTAAGTGTATGTGTATCCCATCTTTTCTATTAGCATGTTCAAGGTGGCCCCCATCCTACAAAATCAATTCATAATGATGATTAGATGGCATTTGTAATAATCTCTCCACTCCCTCTAATGATGGCATTTTATGTTGTCCGGTGGCTGCACCAAGGGTTAAGTATTTGACTGGAAATGAGATGTCAGAGGTACGAGATTACAAAACCCAGCTTGTTTCGATGGGTCCTTTGGAAGGCTAAGTAATTTAAGGCGTGGCATTTTAATTAAGGAAGCATAGTTTTTTCATAGGACATCAGGCTATGCCCAGAAGGGACTTTCTATTTGTATAGATTAAAATGTAGACTTACTTGATAGTCATTCCTCTTGATGTTAGGAACATCCATGTTGTGAGTGGAAGGACAAATATCTTCATATTTTTTGCCAGTGAACACATCAATGCCAACTAGGTGGACCTAGGAGAATGTTCATGCACATATATTTAGGCTACCAAGAACAGTATGTTCCAAGAACAAATTTTGGGGTAGGTGGGGGGGGGGGGAGAGAAAGCAATGAACAGTAATTCATTTGCATCCACCCAGAGACTAAAGCTGGAACAGTTCTGTAAGGAGAAGTCACATATAATGATACTCAAATTACAGTCTATCATTGACTAGAACAAGACAGTCAAACACATGGCCTGAATCCTGCATTCGACCCTCAAAGCCGTTTTTGGCAGCCCTCAGCAACATTTGACCCGACCCAAAACCAGTTAAGGAGGCACTGAGCTTTGGGAAGAGTTGTCTCTACACAACTACACTACCACTCCCATCGTCCCTAGCTAGCAGGACCAGTGGTCAGGTATGATGGGAGTTCTTCTCCAACAACATCTGGGGACCCAAGGTTGAGAAAGGCTGGGCTAGCCTATACAGTACAGTATCTTACTTCAGGAGAGAAAAGTCATGAATGATTTACCCATCTCCACAAATAGCTTAGAATTCTGAGACATAGTTTTCTGTAACCAAAAGTTAGCATTTAAATTGATGTTTGGATGGAACTTCTATGCTAACTGCCTAGATTCAAGTCATCTATGCATGCCCATCACCTCTAAGACTCCTTCTACCAAGGAGATATCTTACTGAAGAACTATCAAGATCATATTTGCGTATGGCGACAGTTCTGAACTTAAGCATGTGCTTAGATACAAATTACACAAGCTCCAAGAGAGGCTTGAGTAACTCAAGCTACCTCAATTTTCTGACTTAAATTCACAAGCTTAATGCCGGCGTGTTCCAAACCTGGGAGGACCAGGTTGTGCTGCAGATCTGTACTGATTCCCTTCTCACCCTCACCATCAGATTCCCTCCATTTGTGATGCAAAACTAGAGAGGAGCATATGAGCTTCCAGGATGTTTGTAATCCTCCAAACCATGATTTGGAGAATAAGAATGCAACGTCTGAATTGAACCAGTTGTACCACTTGGAATCAGATACATCATTCAGACAAAGGTATTTAGAGAGGTTGCAAATTTACTAACAAACAGTGTGCACTATATTGAGGGACTCACTTTCCATGCTCTCCCCTAGCAGAGAATGCCACCCAAGTCAGAAACCTTATACTAGGACAGCCAGCTAGACTTGCACTACAAAGAGAGGGCAGATAGTGAAAGTTAAGTAAGACTGGGCCACGCACCTGGCAAATCTGATGTTAATGTTTAATATTAATAAACTGATATTCATTGAAGAGCAATGTTGGCATACCAGAACAAAAGTAAAACTCAAGAAAGCTCTACCAAGCAATTACCTTTGCATGACCATGCTTGCCAGTCTTCGAAGTTGACATTTCTACAATCTTGCAGGGACGTCCCTTCAGCACCACAAAGCCATTTTTGCGGAGTGCAGAACACTGCATAGGGTAGGTGGCAGAAGCACCAGCATCTCCAGTGGTAAAATCAACTTCATCAGCCATAGTATGTAGTGTGTTCTGGCAAATACTATAAAATTTAGAAATAAATTCAGTTATTTCATGTATCAGTTAAATAATAAAGTACTTGTATCTTTAAGAGTGTTATAAATAGATATGCAGATGAACACAAACCATACTTCGAATATAATGAAGCATGTTACAGAAAGTACTATGCTCAGCCCAGCATTGAACATATCAACATTCTCCACCTTCACTGCAAGTATGACAGAGTTGTGAAATGGAATAGCTGTCCCCTGTGGTCACTGAGTACACATCCTAAAAATGCTAGCTCAAGACTGCAGTATGGGATGGGACGGGCAATATTTTACTCTCAGGGGTCCCAACTGCCATGTTATGGCTCAGCCAGGACACGGGTAGAGGAGGGAGAGAAAAGTTGCAGGAGACAATTGTAACAAGGAATGCAAAATTACAATTACAAGATTTATAAGAAATGCAAATTTTACAAGATTTATAAACTGAGACAATAGATTTATAAATTTGGTTTCTGAAGCTGTGGAATAGCATTTTGGGGGATTATTGAAGATTAAGTGCTACTGTCCCACATTCGACTCAAACATGAACACAGTGGCAAGTGCCAGCTCCTATTTGGTGAGAACTACAGGCGCTGTGGGTTAAACCACAGAGGCTAGGGCTTGCTGATCAGAAGGTTGGCGGTTCGAATTCCCGCGACGGGATGAGCTCCCGTTGCAAGGTCCCTGCTCCTGCCAACCTAGCAGTTCGAAAGCATGTCAAAGTGCAAGTAGATAAGTAGGTACCGCTCTGGTGGGAAGGAAAACGGCGTTTCTGTGCGCTGCTCTGGTTCGCCAGAAGCGGCTTAGTCATGCTGGCCACATGACTTGGAAGCTGTACGCCGGCTCCCTTGGCCAATAAAGCGAGATGAGCGCCGCAACCCCCGAGTCGTCCGTGACTGGACCTAATGGTCAGAAGTCCCTTTACCCTTACACACCACAGCAATTATAACTGTAACATGTTTCCCACACACACTGATTGTATGGTGAAGTATACAACTGAGCAATTATCAGCGAATGGGGCTTCTTATTACAGGATGGTTGCGGCAGCATGAAGAATCACATCTCTCAGAAGTGCCTTTTTGGCAACAACTACAGCCATTTCATGATATTACAATCACAGCAGTTACCCTCAAGCCAGAAATGAAGTGCATGGGGAGAGGTGATGTGAAAGAGCAAAGGGATAACTAATACAGGGTGCTTACAGTAGGCATTTTGTGGTGGTTCATAATTCTGGCAACCGAAGCAAGTCTACTTATCATTTAGTGATCTCAGGAACCTGTTTCATCACTGTCTAAAAGCTGTAAGGGTGTACCATGACTGGTAGGGAATGCAGCAGATAGGCGTTAAGCAGCTGAAGCAAAAGCAGCTGGGGCTGCTGTATCACTAAAACTCTCACAAGAGAATGGAATTTGAACAGATACAGAGCTTATTTTACCCTGCATGACAAACGGGATTGCTCTCAGGAAGAGTTTGTGAGCATCTTAAAGGTATCTGGGTACCCACTATTGCTCAACAGAGGGGGATGGTGTACTAGGTATGGGAAGATTTGACTAGACGACCTTTGGACAGAGCCTACACATCAATTCTTAAGAGGAAAAAGGAAGCTTAGTAGGTGTGCACTCTCTTACTCTCTCTCACACACACACTGAGCACACAGGGCCACGTTTTGACCTACCCAGCCACCAAAAGCGGAAACCAATGTGGGAAAACAATGGCCAAATGAGCTCCTCTACCTGTTAAACCCCCAAAACACATTCCAAAATCCGCAATAGGGCAGTATCTTTATTAGGGCGTTTTCTCATCTTGGTTAGTCCTAATGGAGATGGCCCTAGAATTGGCCTCCACAGTCACTTACGGACTCATTGTTAAAACCGTGTTTATGGAAGATAATCAGCTACGAGTGATCGCCAAAGAAGACGACGACTATGAATTCTAGCCGTTTTCTTGGGGACCAACATGGCTGCCTTTCCTTCTTGGGTAATTCTAAACACTCGTGACCAAGAAGCAAAAAGGCCATCATGGGTGGAGAAGCTGCGACCCCCCCCCCCCCGGGACTGCGAACAGCTCCTAACCAGGTTGGTCGGTGTGTGTGTGTGTGTGTGTGTGTGTGTGTGATATGAGGTGGTGTAGGCCCAACGCTATCTACCCGGCTATCCTGCACGGCAAAGGGGTTGGGATGGATGACCCTTGGGGACCCCATCCGACTCTACGGAGGGCACCGCTGCTTCCCCGCGGAATACACCGTTATTATGCGGGGGGGGGGGGGAAGTCAGCAGGCCAATTTAAACATGGTTTTCCTCACAGAGCGGGTAATGAGAGAAACAGAGCTGAGCAAACGATCCGCTGGCCTGGGAAATTCAAGCCCCCGCCCCCCGGTTCCTCCATCTCCTCAGCCCCGAGTCCCCCCAGCTCCCGCGAAGGGAGGCGCCCCGCATGGCCGCCTCGTGGGAAGAGCAGGCGGCGCCGCGGAGAAGCCTGAGGGGAAGGCGCCGGCCGCCTCGGACCCGGGTCTGCACCAGACCAGTCCGGCCCGGTTCGCCGTTGGCCTGAGAGGATTCCAAGCGGCCCGCCAACGGCTCCAACGGCTGAGCGGAGGGACTAAGCCGTGGGGGGGGGGGAGGGGGCGCCGCACGCACCCGCGTCAGGAGCCAGCACTTACCTCCCACGGCGCAGGGAAAGACTGGAAGAGCGTCGCAGCAACGCGCACGCGCAGAGCAGCCGTAAAGGGAGGCGTGTGGGTGGAGAAAAGGAGGGAGGGGGAGAGAGCGCGAGAGCGGGAAGGGGAGGGGGGAATCCCCCTAGGCGTGAAGGGAGCGCGCGCCGTACGTTCCAAATTTAAAGGAGGGAAGAAGAAAATCCCCTCAGCCCCGCCCACATCGGGTACAGGTTATCCTCCTTCGCCATTGGCCGCTTTATCGCCCCACCCACGCAAGGCGCGAGCCCGGACCTACGCGCCGGTCTCTACGCCACGTGACGGCTTTTGCCTCCAGGACGGCGCCGCCTCCGCCTCCCTCCACATCCTGGATGTCTACACTTTTACGGCGTCTGTGATCGTCATCTGCCTGCGCCAACGCGCGGCTGACCCAGGAGTTTTCGTACACGTGTGGGCGCTTCGTAGCATGTGCTCGGCTTTGCCCGGAAGCGGTACGGAAAGCGGCTTGGATCAGAAAGCCTGGGCTCTTGCCGCGCGCAGCATTGTGTTGAAGCGTGCTGGTAGTTAGTGGATTGGGAGAGCAGCAACACCCCGTCTTTTTTCCATACGAAAATGGTTAAGAAGCTTTGTGAAGTGTCAGTAGGTTGGCACAAACCATGACGTTTGGGGACATTAATCTAGCTCAGGGTTCCTAATAGTGTTAGAAAAACACCCCACTATGTTATGTAATTTTGTTACTATGTTATATATTTTTGGTTTTTTTATATTCTAAACTCTGTGATCCTCGGATGAAGAGCGGCATAGAAACTTAATAATCATAGCCACGCACGCAGCAACTCTTGGGTCAGAGGTAGGGTGCCAACTTGAATAAAATATTGCATAATCGATCACAAGGCACCATTTGAATAGCAGTGCCTATAAACTTTGTGGGTGCCTGGCCAGAGGCCGCCTCTGCTTGAACGGATTCCACTAGGACAAGGACTTTGGCGGTTGATTCTGGGATTAACCAAACTCTTCGTTGGCAGAAAGTGCGCTGGTGTTTCTTTTTCAATTAACTATAAAATTAGGCTAAAAGCGTTAAAGAGCACACCCACAAGTTAATCAGTTATAAGAACTGGTGCCTAAGCTTGCTCCTTTCCCCCATACCCTATTTTCCTTGTGTGTCATTCCTTTCATAAAACTTTTAGGGCAGGGACTCCCTTACTATTTATTTTTGCAAGCCATGCTTGGGGTGTGAGTCGACTAAAGAGCAGGCTAAACATGCTTTAAACAGATAAAACTTAACATCTCTCTACCTCTGTACTCAAAAGAAATATAGTGGTTACTTAATTTGCACAGGTGCTTAGCTTGCCTGTCTGCTTAAGTGTTTACCTCGCACAACAGGCTCCCTCAGAAGTCTGTCTTATACCCCTTGTTGGCTCCCCCAATTACTCCTGCAATCAGTTAGATTAGGAAGGTCTCCATTTAAAAAACCAAGGGGGTGTGAGTCAAGTGCTGGGCTGCACCAGACTCCACTGAGTTGAAACTTAAAAGGGGAATTTAGGTCAGTGAAGCCCACTGGGAATGTTGATTGTCTTTTCTCCTCAGGGGGGTGGCAGACAATGAGTGGTGAAGAAGACGATAATGTGCACAGCGAGCCCCTTGGGTAACGCAAGAGTCTGACTCACTGTACATTTGATGGATCTTTTGTTGATTTTATTCTTGTTGATATATCCTTGCTTATAGTTTTATGACAGTACAGTTTATAAGTTCATGACAAATAAATACCGTATTTTTCGCTCTATAAGACGCACCAGACCATAAGACGCACCTAGTTTTTGGAGGAGAAAAACAAGAAAAAAAATATTTTGAATCCCAGAAGCCAGAACAGCAAGAGGGATCGCTGCGCAGCGAAAGCAGCGATCCCTCTTGCTGTTCTGGCTTCTGGGATAGCCGCGCCAAGCCTCTTCAGGGCAGGGGGAGCGTTCCTCCCATTACCCTGAAGAGGCTTCGCAAAAGCAACACAAAGCCTCTTGAGGAGGAGCACTCCCGTTGCGCTCAAGAGGCTTTGTGTGGCTACCCCTGAAGCCAGAAGAGCAAGAGGCATCAGTGTGCAGCGATCCCTCTTGCTCTTCTGGCTTCAGCGATAGCTGCGCAGCCTGCATTCGCCCCATAAGACGCACACACATTTCCCCTTACTTTTTAGGAGGGAAAAAGTGAGTCTTATAGAGCAAAAAATACAGTAGTTGCTGAACTATAAGTTTCCTTGACCATTGGCTGGTGGGAATTGTGGTGCAAAACATCTGGAGAGCCACAGGTTCCCCAGCCCTAACTTCCAAGCCACATTTTAAGCCTTAAATAAGCCTAGGTCCTAGGATATGTGTGCAGAGAACTCCCAACTCCTTAAGGCACTCTTCCCCAACCTTGTGACCTCTAAGATGCCTTGGAGCTCAGCTTCATCATTTCAGAAGGAACACCAGGCTGGGGAGGCCGCTATAGTTGCATCCTGCATTACAGATCCTGAAATGAGGTAGTCCATAGAATAGATGATTTCCAAGATCCTTCCTATGATTGTAGGGCTGCATACACACCATATATTAAAAGCAGGAATTCTCCCCCCCGCCCCAGAGAGAATCCTGGGAAGTGCAATTTGTCAAGAGTGCTGAGAACTATAGCTCTATTATAGGTAAACTACAGTTTCCAGGATTTTTTTTTGCTTCAAATGTGCTTGTAAGTATGTGGTGTATATGCAGTCTCAATCTGTTTAGGACTGCAGGCGGATTTGCACAGCTGTGCTGGGACCCTAACAACTCTAGAGGTATTGTATTTCTAAAAGTATTGAAGCTTTCGATTGAGGAATGTTACCTGAGAGCTTTTCCTATTACATGCATGTCACATTTATGAGTCCTCTAAAAAGAACCTTAATTCTTGTCAAAAGGGAAATTCATTAGTGATTAGAGCATAACAAAAATGGTTTCCCAGCTTCATAGTTTGCTCAAAACCTGCTGGAAACTGAAGTGAATTAAACCCCTCAGAGGAACTGGTTTGCAGTTGCCGGAATTACAATCTTGTGGGGGTGTGTATTTCACGATTTCCTTCAGCAGATGGTGCTGGTGATTTTGAAACAACAGAGAAGACCATTTAGAACTGAAAATGCAAAGTAATTGAGGCAATAACCTTTTATTTCAGCCAACTAATGTTCAGCAGTGCTGGATGTAAGCAAGTAGTTTGGGCAGATGCTTAATTAGATTACAAAACAAGCCATTCAAACTTCACGAAAGCCTCAAAGGGACAGTGAAATGAAAAATGTCTGTTCCACTTCAAAATGCAGAAATTAATGGTTGGAATCTTGGGTTTTCTGCTACTAGTTCAGCAGTTCAACACCCTGGAAAAAAGCAAAACAAAATCTAACCGAGGCTGCATAAAAATGACTTTTTATTCTAGAATCTGAATATTTTGAGAACTGAGTACTTGCTTTTTCTATGTAGCCCATTTCCCTAGTCTTAATACCTGAGAGGGCCTATAAAGAAGAAGACAGTGGGTTATTTAGGGCTTTAAAGACTAAAGTGTGTACCTTAAATTAGGCCCAGAAACGAATTGGCAACCAGTGTAGCTGGTTTAAAATGGGTTATATGAGAGCTGGAGGGAACCCCAGCCAGTACTCTGGCTGCTGCCATTTCCAAGTCATTTTCGAGGGCAGCGCCACAAAGAGCACATTGCAGTAATCCAATCTGGAAGTTGAAATATGGAGCACAGCAGCCAAGTTGTCTCTGTCAGAAAGAGACCGTAGTTGGTGAACCAGCTAGAGCTGGAAAAAGGGCACTCTTGGCCTCTTAGACTGCCTGTGACTTCCATGACAATGTTGAATCCAGGAGCAATCCCATGTATTAATCTGAGGAAGGACCACAGCTTAGTGGTACAGCATCTGCTTTGTATGCGGAAGGTCCCAGGTCCAATCAGCACCATCTCCAGGTAGAGATGGGAAAGACTGTCTGAAGCACTGGGAGACTGCTACCAGTCAGTGTAGACAACACTGAACTAGATGGACAAATGGTCTGACTAGGCAGAAGACAGCTTCTCATTGTTAAAAGTTGGCAGGGGGGACCCCTCCTAAACCCAAGAAATTAATGAATGTTAGGATCTAGCTAATATTGGGGATAGGAAGGGGAAATGCAAGCTACAGAATGGTGCCAGACAAAGAATCCCTGGGCTGGCATATGCAAACCAGCCTGGCTGGTCTGGTTGAATGCAGTCCATTATAAAACAATGGCTGGGCATTTACACATCAGAGAAGGTCCTCAGGTCTGTGCAAAAGAGGGGTTGCCAATGTGTCAGGGAGGGGTGTAAGGTGACAGGAAAAGGTGTTGTTTTTCAAGCAGCTGGGAAGAAGAAGGAGAACAAAGCCCAGTCCTCCAAAATAATAATAATAATAATAATAATAATAATAATAATAATAATAATAATAAATTTATTATTTATTCCCCACCCATCTGGCTGGGTTTCCCCAGTCACTCTGGGCGGCTTCCAACAGAATATTAAAATACAATAACCTATTAAACATTAAAAGCTTCCCTAAACAGGCCTGCCTTCAGATGTCTTCTAAAAGTCTGGTAGTTGTTTTTCTCTTTGACATCTGGTGGGAGGGCGTTCCACAGGGCGGGTGCCACTACCGAGAAGGCCCTCTGCCCGGTTCCCTGTAACCTCACTTCTCGCAGTGAGGGAACCACCAGAAGGCCCTCAGCACTGGACCTCAGTGTTTGGGCAGAACGATGGGGGTGGAGACGCTCCTTCAGGTATTCTGGACCAAGGCCATTTAGGGCTTTAAAGGTCAGCACCAACACTTTGAATTGTGCTCGGAAACGTACTGGGAGCCAATGTAGGTCTTTCAAGACCGGTGTTATATGGTCTCGGCGGCCACTCCCAGTCACCAGTCTAGCTGCTGCATTCTGGATTAGTTGTAATTTCTAGGTCACCTTCAAAGGTAGCCCCACATAGAGCACATTGCAGTAGTCCAAGCGAGAGATAACTGGAGCATGCACCACTCTGGTGAGACAGTCTGCGGGCAGGTAGGGTCTCATCCTGCGTACCAGATGGAGCTGGTAAACAGCTGCCCTGGACACAGAATTGACCTGCACCTCCATGGACAGCTGTGAGTCCAAAATGACTCCCAGGCTGCGCACCGAGTCCTTCAGGGGCACAGTTACCCCATTCAGGACCAGGGAGTCCTCCATACCCGCCCGTCTCCTGTCCCCCCCAAAACAGTACTTCTGTCTTGTCAGGATTCAACGTCAATCTGTTAGCCGCCATCCATCCTGCTGGAGGAGGCTGTGCTAAGATACTGGGGGCCGTGACTGACTGCTACATTGGACCCAAGCGTACAGAAGCTATGAGAGGAGTAACGAGAGGCACCCTTGGGGTATAATGTTCTACATCCCCTCCACTGCACACTTCCAGGTGTAAATAAGTGTTAATGAGCCATATTTCTTAAGGACACCAGCCTCCGCTGCGCCTCAATCTTCCAGTGTGGTGTAGTGGTTAAGAGTGGTAGATTCGTAATCTGGGGAACCGGGTTCGTGTCTCCGTTCCTCCACATGCAGCTGCAGGTGACCTTGGGCTAGTCACACTTCTTTGAAGCCTCCCAGCCCCACTCACCTCACAGAGTGTTTGTTATGGGGGAGGAGGGGAATGGAGATTGTTAGACCCTTTGAGACTCCTTCGGGTAGTGATAAAGCGGGATATCAAATCCAAACTCTTCTTCTTCTTCAAACAGAAACACAAGCCGGGAACCCCTGAATCTCCTCACACTGCTTGTGGAGATTGTTGTGGCGTGTAACACGTGTAGACAACATTGAATGAGATGGGCAACTGGTCCGGCTAGGCAGAAGGCAGCTTCCTCTGTTCCTAATGTGTCACAGTGGGGCCATGAAGCCTGCTAATTATTTGTTAAAATCTCACTATCGGCTGCCATGGTGCTTGCAGCAATACAACCACATCCATTTAATGTATCCTGTGATAAAGACCCTGCCAGTTTAATCACCACTGGGCAACACAGATCAGAGCAGTGTATAGAAACGGCTCTAAACAATGGAGTATTGGTGAGTATTGTTGTGGGGAGAAAAAAAATCCATCCAAATAGCATCTGTGGGCAAACCTATTCACAGCCCTTCACAGCTGCAGATGGCTTGTTTTGCTAGGCTAAATTCCCCATTGTGAGTCAGAAGGCCCTTTCTTTGCTTCCTGCAGTTTATCTGCTGAGCATGATAAAGAAATCAATTTTACTTTAGCATTTTAAATGGTCCATTGCTGCTGTCTAAACCAGGTTTTCTTTAATGAACGTCTATCTGTCTTCTTACGTCCCGGGCATGATGTGATTTAGATTCTCATTTGCACTTAAGTGCTTCTTTTTTGCTATTTGTAACTTAGAGCCAGCCTTATTATACTCCTCCTTTAACTAACTGCCTTCCCTCCACACCCAGACATTATGAAACGCCATATTCATACCCAAACCAAGGGGTGCAAACCTGTGGCTCTCCAAATGTTGCTGAACTTGTTGAGTCGTGTCCGGCTCTTCATGACCCCATGGACCAGAGCACGCCAGGCACTCCTGTCTTCCACTGCCTCCCGCCATAGCTGTCAACGTTTCCCTTTTTTAAAGGGAAATCCCCTTCTTCCGAATAGGATTCCTCACAAGAAAAGGGAAAAGTTGACAGCTATGCGTCCCACACACCCTATAAGCCCCAGTCAGTGCTCCGTGCTCAGGAAGATGGGAGAAACATCCAGAGAGCCATGGAACAATTTGAAATGTCTTTACCAGAATAACTGAGGGGGCAGATGCCAGCCAGAAGTGCCTTCCAGTTCCTCCAAAGCAACTTGGTTTATCTCTCCATTCATTGTGGGGGGCCAATTGAAACGGGTTCAGTTGTTCACCTACAGAAAATAATTATGTAGGCTTTACATCAGGTGGTTCCCTGTTGTTAGGACTACAGTTTTCAGCATCCTTGACCGCAATGGCTGGGTCTGATGGAAACTGGGTTTTTGGAGGGTGTTGTGGTTGGGGGTGGAGAGTGCTCTGGCTTTTTGAGAAGGGAAGAGAGCTCAGAAGTGCCGTGACTTTTTGCCTTCTCTGTTTTGCTGCCCATGGTGGAGCTTTTTGAAATGAGGGAGAAGATGGTGGAGCAAGCTTGTTTTCTCCTGCTGCAGAGGATAAGACATGAACCAATGGATTCAAGTTACAAGAAAGGAGATTCTGACTGAAAACCAAGAAGAACTTTCTGATAGTAAGAACTGTTCAACAGTAGAACGGTCTGTCTCAGATCCTTGGAGGATTTTAAGCAGAGGTTGGGTGGCCATCTTCTTTTTTTTGTTTTGTTTTTTAAAGTTTTTATTGTTAAAATAATTCATACACATATAATACAAATATACAAGCATACAAACATACATTTCATACAATCCTTAAAAGTGTTCAAACATACTTACACTCAATCCCACAGATAATTCCTTTTCCCATCACCATCCACCACCCCTCACACCACCTTTGTGTTAGACTTCCAATCTACTCAATTGCAATTTCTTTCCACTTCTATTACTTTCTTTTACACACCTTTAACCTAATTTCATACTTCTTTTTCTTTTACACATTGTTATCCATCTTATTTAGTATTTCAGTATTTGAAACGGAACTTGTTTATTCTAATAGGAGTTCTGATTTTTCAATATGATTTTGCAAGTATCTTTTAAACACCTTCCAGTCCCTATCTATCTTCTCTTTTGAGAGCCTTCCAATTTCTCCCATTGTTTTGGATATATTGTAGTACTCCAATAATTTGGCAAGCCACTCTATTTTTGTCGGTACAATACCACTTTTCCAGTTTTTCGCAATCAATAGCCTTGCGGCTACTGTTGCGTATAAATATAAGGTCTTGTCTTCTTCCTTTAGGCTTCCTGGTACTATTCCCAATAAAAAACCTTCTGGTGTTTTCCTAAATGAATATCTGAACATTTTTTTCATTTCATTATATATTGTTTCCCAAAATTGTTTGATGTTTGAACAATTCCACCATATATGTATCATAGTACCTTTTCCAGTGTTGCATCGCCAGCAGACATTGCTACAATTTTTATTTATTTTTGCTATTCTTTCAGGTGTTAAATACCATCTATGTTGTATTTTGAGGTAATTTTCTTTCAATATATAACACAGTGAATTTCATATCTTCTTTCCACAATTTTCCCCATTGTTCAAACATAATATTTTTCCCAATATCTTGCGCCCATTTAATCATTGATGCTTTAACCAATTCATCCTTTTGATTTTTTGATTTTTCTTGTATTAAGTATTTATACAAGTATTTATATATTTATTTTGATATTTCTTTTTCAAATCCTAACTTTTTGTCTTTCGCTAATCTGTACTTAATTTTAATATATTGGAACCAATCACTAATATGAGCTTTAATTTCTGTATAATCCTTTAATTCCAATTCTCCGTTTTCTTCCTTTAATACAATTTTATAGGTAGCCCAATTTTCTTTCATATTTAATTTTTTCACTGCAACAATTTCTGCCGACGATGCGGGTGGCCATCTTCTTTCTGAACGTAGGAGAAGTTCAAACTCCTTCAACCTATAGTAACGAGTAACGTGCATGAGGTTACTCAGGAAACTAGGGAATGCCTCCCCCCCCACACACAAAAATGAGGTCCCCAAATTATCACCTTAAGTGTTTCTGCTTCATTTTTGGTTCAGTTTCTCCCCCAGCTATTCTGTCACAAGACAGTTTCCAGGCTGAAAGGGATAATGAAAAACAGCATGTAGTGGGGCAGAAAAACCCCTAATGGAAAATGATAATGGGATCACATGGCCAGCGTTCCCTGCATTAGGACGCTGAGCTCATTTTGAAAAGGACAGAGCGCGTGTGAACTTGTCAACAATTCATCAGATGCAACAGGGGGAAAAAACCCTCCTGAGAGCTGTAATTTGGGCACTTTAGGAAAACACCATCAAAGCCATGCTGACAAGAGGCTTTTTAGTAAACTTGTTAATTATAATGCATTATTAGCTAACCCTACTCCGGGAAAATTGTTTGAATGTTAAGCTAAAGTATTAGCCATTTAGCTAATATGTGCAGCTTGGTCTCTGGGACTGTCTTAGTGATTAGTAAGTTAGTCAAAGTATACCGTTGAGAGGCCCAAAACGACGGCCAGATCATCTGTATCCCAGGAACAAATTTTAGCTGGGAACTTCATTGAGCGGACAGAGATAAAGTCCAGGCGTTTTAATTGCCAGATGGGAGTGGTGGAAAGCTGTAGTTAACATGTTGCTTTGCTGAATCTGTGCAAACCTAGGGATTGGAGACTTTTAAACACTAAACTTAACAATATTATGTCCACAATAGCTTGGCCTAATGAACTCCATTCACCCTTGCAAAAACTCTTCTGAGCACGCAGAGGGTTAAAACAACAAAAAAGATAAGAGAGTGCCTATACCTTTGATCCTGCAACCCCAAATTAAGGGTAACCATATTCATTTATTCAGTTATAGCTTGCCCTTCCTTCGGGGAGCTTGGGACAACATGCATGGTTCTCTTACCTGCTGCTTTATCTTTACAACAACTCTGTGAGGCAGGTTAGGTCAATTAGACAGTGACTGGCCAACATCCCTTCACCCACCCGAGAAAGCTGAGTGAGGATTTGAACCCAGTTCTCTTGATGCCAGCGCTCTAACCACTACACCATGCTGGCACTCATTGCAAGAGCATTTGTCTCTGGAGCAAAATCCACCGTGTCTGGGAAGGGTTTGTATCTTATAACACGTTAGGGCTGCAATATTTGCTTGGTTAATCAGTTAATAAATCAAGAGCCTTTAGACTGATGGAAAAGCTATGCCTGATTAACCTGGCAATGCATGTTAAAAAATGTGTATACACTAACGGTTGGCTTCTTCTAAATCCTACATGTTTTCTCCAAGGAATTCAGAGCGAAATTCACAATAATCGGGGCTGGAGCCAGGTTTGATGGGTCCTTGGGAAAGATGCCTTCTGGTGGAACATCCTCCCCTCACACCCAGCACTTCCCTGATGGTCCATGGAAGCTTACCAAGCAGTGGCGTAGGGTGGGTTGCCAGTGCCCAGGGCTGCGCCGAGGGGGTTGGTGAGAGAAAAACAGACGAAGTACACATGCACATTCAACTGCCTAAGGGCGTCTTGTGTCACCCAGGAGATGACAGCCGCAGAGATAAGAAGAGTCATTCTGTTTCCTAGAGAGGTCACTTCCTGGTTTGCATGGGGAAGCCATTTTCAATGGAGCAGAAGCACACAGCTGTGCTGAGGCAACACTGGGTGCTATGCCTGGGGCAACTGCCCCTCTGCCTCCCATGCTATGCCACCATTACCAAGGATGAGTGTTGAGCAGCAAGGGAGATGAGCTACAGCATTGAAAGCAGTGCAGCTCAAGCTGCCCAGTTGAACCCAATCCAGTGAAGCAGGGGGTGGAGACTGGATCTGGCTGGTGTGAACCCAAGCCCCATCACTCACACCCATGCCACACCCACAGCTTTTGGCCAAGTCATATATTGACCTTACCCCACAACCTGGCAGCACCAATGATTCAATGCTGCGCCCTCAAAGTTGGGTGGCCATGTGTCCTACTTTGCAGAGGACAGGCCTCTATATGAAGGCCTGCCCGGTCCAACAATAACCCTAGGAAGAGAGAGCGGAAGTGCCTTCAGGTTAAGAACATAAAAGCCCGGCTGGATCAGGCCAAAGACTTATCTAGTCCAGCACCCTGTTTTCACAGTGGCTGGTCAGGTAGCCATTTGAAGCTCCAAAGCAGGAGCTGAGCACAATTGTACTCTGCTCTCCTGAGGTTTCCAGCAACTGGCATTCAAAAGCATGTTGCCTCCGGCAGTGGAGGCCAAACATAGCCATTGTGGCTTGTAGCCATGGCTAGCCTCATTCTCCATGAAGCCCCCACCAACACTTAGTACCTGGACCTCAGACCAAGCAGGCACCCTTGTCACCTGGTCAGAATCTTCCCCAGTATGGCGAGATGTCTCTCCCCCCACCCCTATCCTAGTCTGGATCTGTACTGGATTTGGAATTGTTTATATACGAAATTGTTCCAGTTTGGTTTATATTAAATTGTTCCCATGTGAGCCGATTGGATCCATCATGGCACATTTGATTAAACAACTATCAAGCGACAGCTCTGGTTTATTTTATGAAATATTAGCCTATTTATTGCTGGTGCTGCTGTTCTTTTTGCTGCTGCTGCTGCTGCTGTTTTCAGTTTGATAATTTGGGCTTTTATGGTTGGTTGCTTTTCTCTTTATAAGCTGCTTTGAACAACTCCTTTGCAGGTGGAAAAAGAGGAGTACAAATTTTTTAATTGGTAAGATGGGGAAAAAATGAAACATTGCAAAGAAGAGAAAGAGGAGAGATATTAGTTATGATATTTAAATGTAACAGTGAAAGTAAGAAATGTAAATTAAGTGGAAAAGGTTGGAAAATTTTCAGATGTGATTGACGGAAGTCAAAATAATTGTATAAGATATAAAAGTATGTTTAATAATTGTTGAAAATGTTATGCTAAAAAAGCCTAATAAAAATTATATTAAAAAAAGAAAAGAAAAGAAAAATACAGGTTAAATAGAGAAACACTGTTAACTCTGAGGATGCTTTTTCTTATTTGGTCAATGAATATCTGATTTGTTGTGGGAGGCTGATTTTTCTTGAGGGGAATTGCCTTTTCCCAGACATCAAACAACAATGTTTTAACAACAGCAACAACCACCTTGTTATAAGGATAAAGTGAGGGGACACACATACGCCATCTTGAACACCTTGGAGGAATGATGGGATATAACAAATGAAATTAAATTGTATATCCCCCCTCAGAGCCTTTCATCACTGCAAGTGATACGTGGAATATTTGTGTGCATGTCACACTTTGAGCAGTGAGCAGGACACTGGTTGGTTGAGGAGACATGCCTGAAAGTCCCAGGAAGCTCTGAAGTCTAGTAACTTGGGCTACAGAGGCACCACACTGGTCCAGACACCAGCATCAGTTCTGGACCTACTTGCCAAAGTTGACAGCTTATCTGGGTAGACAATGTGTAGCTGAGGATCAATGAAACAGAAAATTCCCGGCCCTTTAAATACCTTCACTTAGATGTGGCAGAGCCTGTGAAAGTTGCCAGGTCAGGAGTGGCTATAAGTTTGGCTCCAGGCCTTGCGGGAGCAAGTTTTCTACTTCAGAGGTCCTGCCGCTCCAATCCAACCTCACCTGCTCCTCACCTGCATCCTTGGTACCCTAAGAACTTCATCCTTCCTGTGTCAGACCCTCCCCTCTGCTCAGTGTCGGGACAAGACGGTGAAATATAGTGATTTTGGCATGTTGGTTTTATGAGATGGCTTACATGGCATCTGGTCACAAACAGATTGCATGCTGCTGCTTCTTTTTGCAAATAATAAAAACGTCAGTTATCTACAATGAAGAGCCAAGATATATGTAAAAACACGCATAAAAATACTTTAATGGTCAATAGTATTTAAACAGTTATTTTATTTACAAAGCACCTCAGTGTCTCTGGCTGCCTTGTCTCACTAACCTTTTAGCGTTCGGGAGTGTCAACAAGCATATTGATAGGGGTAATCCGGCTGACATTGTGTACTTAGATTTTCAAAAGGCTTTCAGTATCCTGAGTAAGCGTAACAGTCCTGGGAAAAGAGTCTGCTTAGGGATCAGTAGCTGCTTAAAGCATAGGGAGCAGAGTGTACAGGCAGCAACTGTTTTAGGTGCATCTGATATGTGCACGACTGTGCAAGCGTGCATCGCTGAGCCCGGAAGTGACCCAAGAAGTCACAAAAAGGGGAGGAACGAGGCAGAACAGGGTGTTTGCAAGCTTTTAAAATGGTGTTTCAAATATATGCAGTTTCACTTAAATTTGTGGTGACTTGGAACGCAGCCCCCACATGAATTGGGAGTTGCCTGGCCTGACAAATGGTCAGTTCTCACTGTCCATTTGTTGGTCCAAGGCTTGCCATTTTTAACTTGTTCATAAACGATCCAGAATTAGGAGTGATCAGGGAGCTTGCCAAGTTTGCTGATGATAGCAAATTGTTCAGGGTGGTGAAAGAGAGGTTGCAAGGAGCTCTAAAAAGGGGTTCCCTCCAAACTGAGTAAGTTGGTGTTAATTAAAATGACAAATGTGATTCAGTGTAAGCAAGGGCAAAGTGATGCACACTAGGGGCAACCCCCCCCCAATAACTTCGCATATATGGTAATGCAGACTGAATGGGTCATGTGACCTTGGTGTCATTAGTGTGTTGCTCAAGGAAGATGTTTACTCAGGGGAAGGACACACTACGGATCATTAGGAAAGGGATGGGAAATAAAACCGCCAGGATCATAATGCCTTTGTTCAAATTTGTGGTGCGATTGCACTTGGAATACTGTGTACACTTCTGGTCATCTTACCTCAAAAAACGATATTGAAGAGGTTCTGAAAAGGGCAACTGGAATGATCAAGCAACTTTCTGCTGAGGAAAGGTTACAACATTCGGAGCTTTTTAGTTCAGAATAAAAATGGCAAGGGAGGACACGATGGAGATATACATGGCACGAAGAAAGTGGACAGAGGGATGTTTTTTGTCTTCCCCCATAATTCCCAAATCCAGAATCATCCAATGGAGTTAAGCATTGGAAGATCCAGGACAGACAAAAGGAAGCTTTTCAACTATAGGATTTGCTCCCATATGGTGTAGTAATGGCAACAAAATTGAAGGGCTTTTAAAGGGGTTTAGATAAGGTAACGGCAAGCAAGCCTATCAGTGACGTCATCCCTGAGGACTATGTACTACATTCAGTGTTGGAGGCAGTATATTTTGGGTTACCCATTGCTGGGAATCTGAGGTGGGGAGAATTGCTGTTAGACTCAGGTCCTGCTTGCAGGCTTCCCACATCTGGTTGGCCATTTTGAGAACAAGCTGCAGGACTAGATGGGCCTGATGCAGCTGAGCTCTTCTGTTTTGTATTCTTCAACTATGGAGTTTGACAGTACATCCAAGGGAGCCAACGTTTCTAGGCAGTCGTAATACTGCACTTCAAGGTGCTAGTCTCAGCAATTAAGTAAGTTTAGAGTTGCCAACCTTTACAGTATTGGTACACAGTTTAAACCAACAGTGCTAATGGAGCAGTGCTCTGAGAGTAGTATTGTGATTCAGATGAACAACATATTTCGCAAAACAAGTAGTTTCAGTAGTAGATGTGGAAAACAGCACCCTAAACAATTTTGCAATGTGTCTAAAATTTGAGGACTTTCTAATTTTCATTTTCAAATGTAAAATTCCTTGACTTTCTGAAAATCTGTTATCTGGGTTCCAAAAACTGTTGCTGCCCACATCTTGCTCTAAAGAAAATGGCAATGATATTTTGAGCATGCAAATTATCACAGTGGTACCTCCATATCCCTATCTGCTGATTCGTTTGCAAAAAGCTTGTGCAGAGGTTAGATTATATCCTGTCTTTACTGAGCATTTGTTCTGATTTCTTTACAGGATGGTTATACGATAATGGGCATTCATCCTGCATGTATCCCAGTTGCTTGCGAAGCATTTGCACTTCTTCCCATTAGTCACCAGTTCACTTCCCAGTGCATTTCCCAGCCACTTTCCAAACCACAAATTGTCATACTGTCATTACAGTAGAGCAACAGAGCACTTTAATATACTTGAATTGCATATGCCTAAGGTTCTGGTATGTGCAATGAAGTGGCACCTGCTCCTCTTCAAACCCTGATTTACAGGTTGTTCCCAGTGAACCTGTTTATTGAGCATTCAACCCAATTTGTCTGTGGAGAGATTAAATGAAGTTGGCTACTTAATGAGCATTCACCCTGATTCGTTTGAAGAAAGGTTAGACTCTATTGCATCAAAGCAAGAGTTTTCCGTGCTTTCCCACTCGTTTTCCTGCCACTTTCCTAACTGCGAAATGTTCGATCTTTGGAGGAAGTGGTCTTATTGTATAACAGCTGCAAATCAACTTTTCATTGCACACCTTAAATTTGCTGAGACGTGATTGATTCAATTGCAAAAAATCAAAATAAAAATCAACATTCTGGAAGCACCCTCTCAGAGGCTGCTCATAGCTGCTCTCAGGTACCCTTCTGCATGCTTATATCTGTGCATGGAGGGAGATCAGACCTCTGCTTTTAAAATTACTTGATTTTTTAAAATAAAAAAACCAGACCTGCATATTTTAGATTTTTTAAATGTCAAATCCAATGAAAAAGTATCTTTCATTTCCTCAGGGCTGAGGTAGCTTTGATTCCCTAAACCAGGCACCCCCAAACTTGGCCCTCCAGATGTTTTGGGACTACAACTCCCATCATCCCTAGCTAACAGGACCAGTGGTCAGGGATGATGGGAATTGTAGTCCCAAACCAGCTGGAGGGCCGAGTTTTTTTGGGGGGGTGCCTGCCCTAAACTGAAGTAGAGAACCTTTGGTCCTCCAGATATTGCTGAACTCCTGCCAGTCCTAGCCAGCATGGCCAATGGTCAGGGATGTCTGTACACCATCATCACTGTCAGGAAACATGAGGTTTTTTCCCATGGAGCTCTGTTGCTTTGGAAATCCAGAAGCCAGCAAACAGGAGCTATTAATGTCAGAGGAGGCCAGTCAGAATCCTGGGTAATAAGCTACCAAGCACCAATACTCTTCTGCCTTGCAGAAGGTAAGAAATGCTAATAAAGAAAGGCTGGCAGAAGTACTTTTAAATCAGTCCTTCTATTACTGATTTCTTCATCTGGTCTTAGGGACCAAGCCAAGTTGCACTAGCTGCCAGTTAGTTTCCTGTTTCAGTTTAAAGTGATGATGGCAAACCTAAATTCCTAGCAAATGAGGAAACTAACCGTGAGCTAAGTCAATAGTGGCTGTCCTGCTGAACTGACCAAATGCCTTCCACCAGCAGAACGTTGGTGATCTTTGTAATGGCAAAAGGTCCCATTTCTGAGAATGAATGGCCACACAGAAGCACACCTGTTGCATGTTCTGTGCTGCCTCACCACCTCTCTGCAAGGGATGGGCAAATCTGTCCATTTCAGTTTCTCATGTTTCCAGTCCTAAATTCAGTTCTCCACATTTCCACACCAGTTTGCATTTAACAAAAGGAAAAGGTCCCGAAAATTCACCAGCATTTTCATGCAATTTTCTCCTAATTATGTTTGTATGCCGTTTTGTCTAATCCCGCATTTTCGCAAAGCAATCCCCCCCCCCAGTACCATGCATTTTCAGTGTAAATTTCACTAATATTTACATCTCTACACACATTTTACTCTAGTTAGATGCATTTTTGGTACACGTTACTCGGCTGAAGAACTGCACTGCAAAATTTGGTGACGAGTGAATTTTGAGTTTCAGCTTGCACTTTGGTTTTGCAAAGTGTGAATTGGGGAAATTCGCTTTTACGTGAGAAATGAATTGAGTTCCTCCGCCATCTTTACTTTCTGGTTCTCCGGGGGAACCCAGTACCAGCCACATAAGAAATTGACTGGGGCACAGATCCCTGCTCCTGGATCCCTGCCTAGCCACCTCCTCCGCCTCTTTTGCACAACAGCTTTTGAGACTTTGCAACTCTGCATTAAACGAACTCCTAAAGTAGCGGGAGAAACAGACACAGCCTTGCAAAAGACATCCAGCCAAAGCCACAGAACAGACTCAACCTATCAAGATCACTTCCCATTTTTTTTTTTACGTTTTAAATAAATGCTTCCTCCAGAATGTATCCCGGCAGCATGTTCTTTCCGTTCTTCCTTCTTGCAGGGATAGGCACTATGCCTCGGAGGTGCCTCCCAAACGCTCCATTTCAGTAGCTGTTCTGGGCCCTTGGCCCCCGCCTTTGCCTCGGCGACGGAACTCTTCTGCAATTTCCTCAAAGGACTTGCCTTTGGTTTCTGGCACTTTGTAATAAATAAACACAATGAAGAGGACGAGCAGGCCGGCAAAGATCAGAAACACATATGGTCCGCAGATGTTCTGTGATGGGCAAGAGAGAAAGAGAAGACCAGTTAGCATTCTCTCCCCCATGTTGCCAGCAACGTTGATCAGCCAAGACAACCTGCCTTTCTTCAACTGCAGAATATGTATTTCTCTAAGACTTGTCCCAAAATGGACATCATACATGACATCAGATGCAGGGTAGGTAAGGATTCATCTGTAAACGAACAACTGAATGCATTAAAAGCACTCCCAGTTGTTCTTTTGCGAGGGCTTCTTGGTTTTGGCCCCTTTCAAATCAGGCGCCGAATGCAAGCCCCACCAGATTGGTTTCATGTGGGAACTCCCAACTGGTGCAAAATCCCTGCCCAAAGTGGACTTTGCATTTGGCTGTGATCAGCACTGCTAAGTGCAAACTCTGCTGGAATCAGAAGCTCTCTGGAGTTGGTTGCAAACCCCACTCAGATCAGCTACGGTTATTTGCTTCCACAGCTGATCATATTTATATTCTGTCTTTCCTCCCAGGTCGGCACGCGTTATTCATTTCCTCCTTTTATGCTCACTACAACCTTGTGAGGTAGGCTTTTCATAACTTCTTGCACCATAGACGGAAGGTTATATATACCCTCGTCCTCTGTACTGGAAACACTTATCATCCTAGGACCCTGTACTTCCTTTGCAAGCAAGAATTGAACAACAGGGATGGAAACCCTCCAGTTTTGTCAGGCTTGAACCATGAAGGGAGCTTGGGAGACAAACCCAAGTTAAGTGATCTCTTGAGTTCACCCACTTAGGATGGGCAAAATCAACTTTAGCCGGTGCCTCCCTCTGAGAATGATGAAGAACAATGCCTGCATGCTGATCAAGCGAGTGCATGGCAAGCAAGCAAGCAAGCAGTGCAACTCTCTACAGGGCTGGCTTGGGGCTTCTGTGGGGTCCTGGGAACCCAAAGACATTTAGACTGGGGGAGGGAGCCTCTTATGGTGGTCTTTTTCAAGCTTAAACCCTACACAGGGGCCAAAGCAAGGAGAGGGCACTGGGGATGATTAGGAGGCCCCCATGGGCTATATCTGGCTCATGGGCTGCCAGTTGCCCACCACACAGTGTCCAGCTGGGCCAGAATTAGTTCACACTTTGTCTGATCTGTCCAGGCCTTCCTGAAGACACAGGGAAGACAGTGGAACAGTGATGGGTCCCCAGGCCAGGTACTGGTCTGAGCCTTGTCATCCGCTAGCATTGGTCATGGCGCCCCTCTTTATTAGCCTATGACATTTTTGTCAACATATTGGCCATTCTCTGCGCGCCCTTGCAGCATCAGTGCAAAAGGGATCCATGGGATATCACTGCAAAGCCTGGAAATTTATTCCCAACCCCTCCCATTTGTCACTCTAGATTGGTAGCCTGTTCTGTTCCCTACTTTGAATTCTAAATGTATGGACCCCCCCCCTTTTAAAAAAAGAAAAGGAAGAAAAATCTTGTTTGGCTGTCTCCATCACAACGCAGTTTCCTTACAGCGACATATGGGAAGAACATTCCGATGCAGAAGTTGGTGAACCAGTTGCTGAAGCCGGCCATTGCGACGGCAGCTGGGCGGGGGCCTTGGCTGAATAGCTCGGCCACAATAAACCAGGGAATTGGTCCTGGCCCGATCTCAAAGAAACTGACAAAGAGGAAGACGGAAATCAGGCTGATGTAGCTCATCCATTCGATTTTGGGCTAAAAAGCAAAGCAAAGCAAAGCAGAACCACGTTAATAGCATTAGAGGAAACATTCCCTGAATGTCTGTCTTAATGCATCTGTCTTCAGTCGCTGTCAGTAGACAAGTCCCCTGACATTTTTTAAAAATGTGTTTTTATTAAAGTTTTTCTTGATTTACAAAAGTATGTGCAATGTCTCTCTCTTGTATTCCCCCCCATGTAACATTTTTTTACAAATCGGTTTCATTTGTTGAGACATTAGAAAGAAAAGGGGGAAAGGGGTGGAGGGGGGAAAGATGGGTGGGTGTGGGGTCGGGTGGCGATGTTTCTATTTTGCTTAATATATGTGGGGTTTTGTGTCAGCTTTGCTTGTGCAGGTTCTCTGCTATTCACTTGTGTTCCTTTGGTGGTGAGAGAGGTTGGGGTTGTGGCTGTTCATTTGTGGTGGGCTGTGGTGGTCTTTGTTTTCATGTGTGAGTGGAGTGGGTGAGTGTTTTGGAACAGGTTAGCCTTATTGATTTGTATGCTGTTGGTGGATTGTTGTCATTGTCTTGTTGTGCTGTGTATGTGATAAAGGGGAGCCATACCAGGGTGAAGGCATCTTCTTCTATTTGTCCCCATGTCAGTTTCAGTTTATTGGTTAATTTATCTAGTAAGGCGTCCCCTGACATTGATGGAGGGACAGCCAGCCAAAATACAGTAGGCATAGTCCTCAGGAGCATGGTGAAGCCCCACTGTGGGCCTCAGTCCCGACACCTACCTTTGGCTAATATTTTTACTGTTTGCTTTTTCCCCACCTAGACAATGTCTAAAGCCCTCAAACACCAAGAAGTGCAAATGCAAAGATGGCTCCACCAACTGGCAGAAAACGGTATTACCCTCTCAAACAACAATTGAAAGAGGACCACAGGTGTGGTTTATTGCAGGCGTGAGGCCAATGTGTGGCCAATGGCCAGGGATTATGGCAGTTGTAGTTGAGCAACATCCGTAGGCCCAAAGGCTTCCCACACCTGTGCTATTGGATGTTCAAACTCAGCTGGCAGTGTCACCTCGCAAAGGGGAGCCTTACCTGCAGGACAAGCCCAATAGTCATGGTTGTTGCGCACACCATCATGCCAGCGAGGCCAGCTATGAAGAGCGAACGCCTCCCTGCTTTCTCCACCAGGAAAACCTGTTGAGTGTAGAACGGCAAAAGTTCGGTTAGCCCATCATCGTTTTGACTTTAAATTGGCAACCAGACTCAACTCCTTGCAGGCCTGTGTCCACACTGTCCCCAAACAAAACCTGAATTTGCAGGTGGACAACCAATCACTGGTGGGAAGAACCCTTTCCCTTATCCAATCACATCGGTGGTGCTGGTGCATCTTAAATGGGTTTGAGCAGTGTTTCATCTGAATGACCCACTTGGTATATTTAACCCCTGTCTAGAGGCACCCTTAAGTCTCCCGTGATTGCTCTCATCCTAAAGATCTGACCAGTCGCAGGATTGGGGAGCACGCATAGGAATATGGGGAGCTGATGTATACCAAAGTGTGACCATTGGTCCATATAGCTTGGGTGTGGGGAACCAACTAGCACGGCTTATGGCCAGAGATTATGGGAGTCGTACTTCAAGAACATCTGGAGGGTCAAAGTTCCCCTAAACCTGATCTAGCACCTTATTTTCTACAGTGACTGCCAATAGCTGCCCAGGGTAAAGGTGGCCGACTGTTGATTTTGATTCCTCAAATTTATCCCAATATACACATTTTTGTATGCAAATATTATGCATGTTAACATTTTAACTAATACAGTGGTGCCCCGCAGGACGAATGCCTCGCAAGACGGAAAACCCGCTAGACGAAAGGGTTTTCCGTTTTGGAGGTGCTTCGCAAAACGAATTTCCTATGTGCTTGCTTCGCAAGACGAAAATGTCTTGCGAGTTCCTGCAGGGTTTTTTTCCTTCCCCCCCCCCTTTTCCCCAAGCTGCTAAACCGCTTATCAGCTGATCGGCTAAGCCGCTTAACAGCTGATCGCTACGCCGCGTATCCGCTGATCGTTCAGCCGCTTATCAGCCGATCGATAAGCCGCTTAACAGCTGATCGCTAAGCCGCTTATCAGCTGATCCGCTAAGCCCGCTAAGCCGCTAATACTGTAGTGCTAATCCGCTAAACCGCTAATGGGCTTGCTTCGCAAGACGAAAAAACCCGCAAGACGAAGAGACTCGCGGAACGGATTCTTTTCGTCTTGTGAGGCACCACTGTATATGCATTTCTACAAACATTTTGCCCTGGTCTGTGCATTTTTGTACGTATTACTTGTCTGGAGAACAGCACTACTAAACTAAGAACTCAGCTACATTAGTCAAGAAACAGCGTTTTGAATGCATTATAAACATGCAACACCAGATGGTGCCAAAGAGCAAAAAAATTCTAAGCAATTTTCCATAGTGTTTTTGTTTTTGTTGTTGTTGTTATAATGATTTAATCTCTCACTTATTTATAGTGTTGGTTTTTCCCCCTGTGTGTAGATCCACCCTAAGAGAAATGCTGATTTCAAAGGATGGCTGTGTATTGTTTCAGAAAGTGTGAATTACGTAGGTTCGCCCAAATGCAACCTGAAATGAATTCCTCCTGCATCTCTAGTCTACGGTTTCAGGCAGGGATCATTCCCAGCCCTACCTGAAGAAGCTGGGGATTGAACTTAGGACCTTCTGCAGTTGCTCTGCCACTGAGCTGCATCCCTTTCTGACAACATGGGATGGTATATCTGTACGCATATCCCTTTTCTAGCCCTCCAACTGGCCTGGTGCCCCAGTACACTTTGTTCAGATTGCTCTTTCTGCTACTTTGGTAGACAAGGTCCAAGCAAGTGGTTATTATGTCTAGCAGGCCTGTTGATCTGGATCACCTGCTGTTGACTTTTTGATAAATGTCAGGTAATATTTAAAGTCTCACGGTCAAAAGAAGAAAAGAGCAAACACAAGCAGAGAGGGAAGCCGTGCAGGACATCTATCCCAGACGTCAGATGAAAGACAGGATTTAAAAAATTTTGCCATCGGCACCATAGGTTGATCGACCGCTGCCCAACTAACTGAACAGAATAGTTTTGTTTTTATACTACCTGAGGACCTTTCCATCAGTTTGGTTAAGAAGTTGGGTTTTTTCCTTGCTTCTGCTCATACCTACGGGACCGCCTCTTCTGGTATGTCCCGCAGAGGAACTTACGGTCTTCAGACAAAAACATCCTGAAGGTCCCAGGCCACAGAGAGGTTAGACTGGCCTCAACTACAGCCAGGGCTTTTTCGGCTGTGGCTCCAATCTGGTGGAACACTCTGTCACAAGAGACTAGGGCCCTGCAGGACTTGACATCTTTCCACAGGGCCTGCAAGACGGAGCTGTTCCGCCAGGCCTTTGGTCAGGGCACAGCCTGACTCCCTCCTTTGGCAATCTTCACAGAACTTTAGCCTAATGGTTACCATCAATTTGAGTTGAATTAATTTTAATGAAATGATTTTAGAATGTTGTATTATTTTATTGTTGTTAGCCGCCCTGAGCCCAGCTTCGGCTGGGGAGGGCGGGATATAAATAAAATTTATTATTATTATTATTATTATTGTTATTATTATTATTATTATTATTATTATTATTATTGCCCCATCCTAACCAGGTTAACGCAGACGCAATGCCTACTGATTTCAGCAAAGGTTGTGTAAGTGCTCAGGATTGCAGTCATTGTCCTGCCTAACTAGCTTCAAACACTTTGCATGCAGAACATTCTAGGTTTGATTTCTGGCATCGCCAGGTAAGCCTGGAAAAAACTGCTGCCGGAAGGTATGGAGAACTCCTGCCAGTCAGTGTAATATGGAGCCAGAGGGAAGGATGGTCTGACTAAGGCAGCTAAGGCCAGCTGGACAATGTCCCATCTTCATATACTGAGGAAGTGCTTCCTCCCAAACATTCCTTGCATGCTCTCAAATCTAGGCCTTCCTAGATATTTGCCAACGTTCTAGGTCTGAGCTGAGACCCTCACCCTCCCAACACTATGCACTACATTTATTTATTTTTAAAAGCCAATAAGAGGTTCATTTTTGTTAGGCAAAAAGCAGCACACCACTGTTGCACTGACAAAATGGTGCCAGTTGTGCACTATAACCCCACCTAGTGACAGAATACGGTATTACCCCTCATGTAACTATTTGAAAAAGAACCACACAGGTAATTCAGTAATTACAGCTGGGCAAGACTTACGGCGACAACAGTGAAGACGGTGTTCACAAATCCCACGCCTATGGTCGCATAAACAGGCTGGCTGACGCGGGCAGTGTTAAAAATATCGGTGGAGTAGTAGAAAATCTAACAAAGCAGAAAGGAGTAAACGGTTTAGAGGCATCAATGGCTCTCCTCTCACTGCGCTAGACAAATCAACACGAAAGCATTTCCCTAGCGTTCCAGGGTGTCAGCGGCACAGATTAGTTTTCTGCTGTATCTACAATAATGCATATTGACAATCTATTGAGACCAAGAGCAAGATCTCTCGCAAACTTGCATCAAAGCTACAGTGCTGTTTGATTAGCTGCTTAAATATCTTTAGTTGCCAGGATCCATCACTAGGTGAACTCACAGCATTAATTCCCGAAAACTGCTGGGCGATATGGACCCCGATGGCCACCAGGAATGGCTGCCTGTAGAGAGGGGAGGTGATGAGCTGCCAAATGGAGACAGGCTTCTCTTTGGAGGCTTCTTCCTTCTCTTTCTCCATCTCCTCAAGCTCTTTGTCAGGGCAGTAGTTTTCTCCTCTCAGCCGTTGCAAGCCTAGGGAAGGAAAGGGATTGTGGGTTCCATCTCTGACGAGAAATGGCCCGTGGAAGTAAAATTACCAGTATGGTGCTGCAGGACAGAAGTGTTGTCTACAACAGACCAACACGGCCACCCTTCTGGGAAATTATCTGAGAAAACATGTGACGTTCCGTGAGCCTATTTGTAACAAATATTCAATAGGTTCTAAAGGTGAGGACTATGCAGATTTTGCAGTTGTTTGCGGCAGTTGGGGCTGATACCCGTTGGGAGTGGTAGGGTTGAAAGCAAAGAGTCTTATGTGTAGATGGAGCCAGAACCAATGACTGAAGAAGAAGAAGAAGAGTTTGGATTTGATATCCTGCTTTATCACTACCCTAAGGAGTCTCAAAGCGGCTGACATTCTCCTTTCCCTTCCTCCCCCACAACAAACACTCTGTGAGGTGAGTGAGGCTGAGAGACTTCAAAGAAGTGTGACTAGCCCAAGATCACCCAGCAGCTGCATGTGGAGGAGCGGGGAATCAAACCTGGTTCACCAGATTACGAGTCTACCACTCTTAACCACTACACCACACTGGAGCCAGCCAATTCTGGTTCTCTCCCCATGCTCCTCCCTTCTGAATTCTGCAGTGGCAGCACTGAGACACTAAGGGGGAGGAAGCTGGCAGCCCATGCCACCCTCTGGATGTAAGATAGAAGGCTGGCTGAGTGCAGACTGAGGGCTGCAGTGCCCCTAATGAACCAGCTTCTACTGCAACCCTGTCTTCAAGAGAAGGCCTTCAATGCCTCAGCTGTCTCTTCCCCATTTAATCCATAGAAACATAGAAATGTCACCATGGGGATATTGACAAGTCTGGAATAAATGACGTTTTGCACCTTCGTAATTACAGAAAGCAGGGAAGGGTTTGTCAGTTTGCATTTCTTAGTGCAGAAAGTACTGATCTGATGTGTAGAGATCTTTCCTACTCTAATTAATTCAAGAGAGTTCTGGCAGCTTCTCTGTGTGAAAGAAGCAAGCAGAAGGTTCATGATGTTTGGGTTATACCTTCAGAGAAGCTGAGTACAGCTGGCTTAAACTGGTTCTGTTATCTCTTCAGTTAAAGTCATGCTGACTATAAAAGGAAGGCCAGAAGGAGCCCGGGTTTCCCTTTCTCCTTCTATCTCTTTTCCTTCTGGTGTGGTGTTCTGTATATAGTGTTAAGGTTTAGACTTATTATAAGTTATTGTAAGTTTAAGTTAAGTCTGCTGCAACTGGATTTCTTATGGACAGTGCCAATCCTGAATGTATTGGATTTATGACCATTATGCTCATTTGCCTTCAGTAGCAGTAAAGCTCTGCTGGATGAAATATTAATTGCCTCTGGTCTATTTTTTGGGAATCCTGCAACGTGTTTAAGTTTTTACTCTGCTAACTATACATTGGAGTTCTGCTCTGGCTCAATATTGAGTAGAATTCAATGACACGGCTGTAGTGCAGTGATAACAGTACTTGCTTAAATACAGAAGGTGCTACTCCTAGTAGCATCTCCATTAAAGGATTGGCTGAAGAACCTCAGCCCAACACCCTATAGAAGTTCTGCCCATCAGTGTTGACCAGGAGTAGCCAACAAGGCATCCAACTCCCATCAGCCCCAGCCAGCATAACCAGTGGTTAGAGCTGATGGAAGTTGGGAGTCATCTGAAGGCCATGCTGGAAACCTCTGGTGTCAATAAATGGTCGGACCCTGCAGAAGATAATATTTTGTGTTCATAACTTGTAAGAAGTCTATAGCATTTCACGTGTTATTGCCTCCTGTTACTCTTCCGCTGCTCTTACCCAACCCCACCAGCCATGTTTTGCACATCCCAATTAATTCCCAGAGTGCTGTCTGTTTCCTCCCAGCTCCCTAATCCAGCCCCCGACATTGTGAGGAGAGTGAAGCCTCAGAAAGTTAAGGACCATAATTCAGCTGTGGAACTTCTGCTTTGCATGTTGAAGGTCTCAGATTTGATACCCAACATAGGAGCCTCCTAGGGGTTGAGGTCCCTTTGCCCTCCAATAAAATATTTGAGGGGGCCACCCCTCCGAGTTGATGGGCATTGCCATTCAAATGGTGTGTGCGCCCCACATCTTGTCACTGATTATGTGGGGCGAGGCTTATCTGTCCCCCCTATTTTATTCAAATTGGCAACCCTGATGCCCAACATTGCCACGTAGGGCTAGAGGAAACTCAGTAGACAGCAGCTTGCTCTCCCTCCCTTTCTCACCAAAGCCAGGCCCCATCTTAGAGGGGAAATAAATTGCCATTGCCACCCCATCCCTGAAATGGATCACAATGTGCCAGTGAGACGTGAGGACCAGGGGACTGATGTAGACTGGCAGAGAAAAAAAAGTATCCCCTGGAGATAACCTTACTTTTTTTGGCTTCTTCTTGTTTTGAAGCTTTAATGTACAAGTACCGGGGGCTCTCTGGGCAACCAAAGAGCAAGAAGATCTGAAGCACGGCAGCAATGCCAGAAAGAGCGAGGAGCAATGGCCATGTGGAATCTTTTCCTAGTAAGACATCCAGGCCAAGAACCTAAGGGGGAAAAAATGGACCAGTGTTTTTCGTTGCTGTGTTTTTGAAATAAAGAAAAGAGTTATTTGTGTCCAATACTTACTTATGATGAATGTACTTAGAATTGTTTTGAGATATTCTTCAAATGGAAATCTTGGTGACATCACTGCTAGGCACCTCACCAGTCCCTCCCACAGTTCCCAGTGCTGATTTGAATGCCCTAGAGAGAGGGTGGGGCAGTCGGGCAGATATGTCCTTTTGATTTCTAAAAAAAATTCCTGGAAGCTTTGTAGCCATTTGCCCCAGCGCATTCCTTTCTAAAGGGATAGACTTTATTTTTCAGAGATGTCGTTATGACAATGGAAAACACTGCGTGTCCCAAATGACAGAGACCCACAAATGAAATATCTCTATGTTCAGAACTTTGGACCAGCAAGCCCTAGAGCACCCCCTCATGGACAAAATCAAATCAACAACCTTCTTGGTATTAAATCTTAGGCACCTATTTTGTCCTGTGAGCAAAATGGCTCTCTTAGAAAACCCTGCTGCATCATGGGAATGGTTCAGCAATACAGATTTGCCCTTGGCGGAGCTTTGTAAATTAAGCGTCAGTTCTGCACACCGTACAAAGGGCTCCCGTGCTGTCCTGCCGTGCAATCACGTGGAGAAAGATAATGTATGAACCATTTTGTCATAGATCTAGCCAGCAGCAATTTCTGTGATCTCAGTAGCGTTGCAAACAGGGAAGGGTTTCGTCCCTGAGTCTGGAAAAGCCAATATAACCCCCAGCCCTAAGACCTGGTGACATAGGCAGCTGTTTGTGCTTTCAGGTTTGCTTTAAAATTGTGCTAGCCAGGAATTCTCTTGCATGTAATGGTAAGAGCCAGATCAGATCTGAAACATCAGATAAAACCAAGAACTAAAAGATGGAGAAAAGTTTGCTTTTGTTCTTATTATGTATTTTGTGTTTTTTTAATATTATGTTTTTATGTTGGGAACCACCCTGAGAACTATTGTTGGGTCCTCGGAGATCCCACACTATGAATGAAATCTACAAATTCAACAATGTTTTGTGAACCGCCCTGAGATCTATGGATATAGGGCAGTATATAAATGTTAATCACCATCATCACCATCTCATTAAGGGGCTTATGGCTGTCCCATTTAGCACTTGACTTGCACAAACATAAATGTGTTCCATGATCAATTTGTCCTCTGTTCGTTTGGTACACACCTGGCTGATGAGGATGCCGATAACGACAGCAAGCTGGTTCATTGATCCCAGAGCCCCTCGGAGAGCGACAGGGGCAATCTCTCCAACATACAGTGGAACAAGTCCAGAGGAGAGGCCTGGGCAAAACATGCAGATGAATCAACCATCGAATCCATCCTGCTGCTGGTGCGCTCCAGATCTTCCAGACTACAACTTCCATCAGGCCCAGCCAGCAAGGCTCATGGTCAAGGGATGACGGGAGCTGCTGCCCAAAATATCTAGAAGGCACCAGGTTAAGGAAGGCTAAATCATGCCAACTTTTTAAAATATATATTCTTTTACTGAAAGATAAAAAGTGACACACACACATATCATTTGTAAGTGCACAGAATAAAATAAGACTTGAAAAATTGTAGGGGGGAGAGAGAGAGAGAGAGAGAGAGAGAGAGAGAGAGAGAGAAAGGAAGGAAGGAAGGAAGGAAGGAAGGAAGGAAGGAAGGAAGGAAGGAAAACACCCAAGAACATCACAAGATTGCTATTGTAGTTAACCTAATAAAGTGTTTATAAAAACAAATTCCAAATATCGTTTTAGAATGTTTGGAACAAATATTCCAACTTACTAACCAGAGGAATAAGTTTCCCTGCTGTCTTAAGACGGTCTTAAGGCAGAGGTTTTCAACCTTTTTGGGTCCATGGCTCCCTTGACCAACTACTTTCATTCTGTGGCACCCTTGTGGGGCCCAGGAGCCCAGTAATGTCACCCCTTGCCTGCAGAGCTGGCAGCCTCTCCCCCTTGTGGAGTGTGCCCTCAGCCTCCTCTCTTCTCCCCTCTCCTTGGGAGTCCTCTGGGCAGCCGCAGCTGCTGCCCCCTCTGCCCCAAAAGAGAGGTCCGTCCTCACACAGCCCCACAATGGCCTAGGAAGCACCCCCTGGCCAGCCCCAGAGGCACCATTCACTTGGTGAGCTGTGCATGCCTTCAGGAGGCAGTGACACAAGAGGGCATCAGAAGAGGGAGGGAAGGAAAGACGGGGTGTTGCCTGTGGCAACCCTGACCATCATTCAAGACACCCCAGGGTCCCACAGCACACTGGTTAAAAACCACTGTCTTAAGGAATTGAATTAGTGCTTGGATAACATGAACTGGTGGAGCCAACAGCAGATGGAGACCATATTCCCAAAAGATCAGGGCTTCTTTCCCTTCACCCTTCCCTCTGATTCTCCATTTCCTGCCACTTTGCATGCTGATCCCAACTCCAAGCAGCCAGCAAACCATCAGGGAAACTCAGAGGGAAGCAATCCCCTGTTTGGAGCCCGCCTTGACTTACCACCATGCAGCCCAGTCAGTACTCTTCCAATGATGATGAAAATGTGGGAGGGGCCAAATTTCGCAATGGCCAAAAAGAGATTCCCAGAGATTGCAAAAATGTTTACCAGCAGCATCGCTCTAACTCTGCAGTGAGGAAGGGAAGCAAGGAGTCAGCGTTTGCGCAAAAGAAAGAGCCAAGTTCAGCCACATTTGCCCACTGGTGAGTCGAGAGTATCCACACAATGCAAGGTCTTTCCACAGCAGATCGAAAGCTAGAGGTCAGCTAAAGGTCCTGACTGTGAGACAATATGGACACGGGACATTTTAACCCCTGAACGTAGGATGCTATTGAAACATGCTGTTCTAATGTTGAGAACTCCCCTGTTCCTTCTGTAAAGTGTACTGACATTAACCCCATAAAGCTAAAGGGACCCCTGACCGTTAGGTCCAGTCATGACCGACTCTGGGGTTGCGGCGCTCATCTCGCTTTATTGGCCGAGGGAGCTGGCGTACAGCTTCCGGGTCATGTGGCCAGCATGACTAAGCCGCTTCTGGCGAACCAGAGCAGTGCACGGAAACGCCGTTTACCTTCCCACTGGAGCAGTACCTATTTATCTGCTTGCACTTTGACATGCTTTTGAACTGCTAGGTTGGCAGAAGCAGGGACTGAGCAATGGTAGCTCACCCCGTGGTGGGGATTCAAACCGCCGACCTTCTGATCGGCAAGTCCTAAGCTCTGTGGTTTAACCCACAGCGCCACCCGCGTCCCTTGGGGCATAGCCCCATGCTATGGTGTTAAAATGTGCTGTGCCGTGCCACTGATCTAAATTTCTGGCCAGGTGGTTGTCACTGGTGGAGGTAGAAGGAAAGACACAATGCATATATTGCCTTATTTTTATGATGGCGGGCTAAGTCCCCAAAAGTTGTCCCAGGTCACTGCAATCTGCAGGGGAGGCCAGGCTGTACATGTGGCCTCACTGCAGAGGAGTGTGTCCTCTCAATAGCTGCACCTACCCTGTGGAATAACCTCTCAGCATCTGCTTTGTGTTCAGAAGTGTCCTTGGCTCAATCCCCAGCATCTCCAGGTAGGGAACCTGGAGAGCAGCTGCCAGCCAGAGCAGACAGTACTGAGTTAGATGGAGCAATTAGTCTGACTCTGCAATAAGGCTCCTGTGCTCCTTTGTGTGAAATTAAGTGCATACCACTGGACGTTACAGACACATCTATTTGCCTGTTTCTTTCTGACCATCTTTTGCTGGTTTCGGTGTTGATTTGGCCGTCTTGTCTGTTTGGCTCTGGTTTCTAAATTTAAATTTGAATTATTTTATTTTTACCATTTGAGATTTCTCCCAGAAGTGAATACAGCACATAAACTTCTAATAAGTGAATGGATAAATAGCTAATTATTCTGTAAATAAATAAAATATATGTAAGACATCACTACAAGGAACACTTCAAATTATGGAGGGAGAGAATGAAAACCTGAAACCAGGATTCCATTCTCCCTTCCCATGTTGCTCATAGTGTGTTGTTTCACCCTAGGTAAGTCTGTGGAACACAATTCTGTGTTATTCTGCTCTTAAGCATTTTCTTGATCCTGTGGGTTTTATTACCATAGGCCTGCACACACTGCTATTTTTCTAGAAAAAGAGGTGCCAGAACTCACCACGAACACCTCCCTTGTTCTCTTAGAACGGCAAAGGGGCCCACCTGAGAGGTGCCAGAACTGAGTTCCAGCAAGTTCCGGCTGAAAAAACCCGCTGCCTGCATGAGTACTTGGTTTTGATTTGTGTATCAATGATGTTCCCTCACATGCCAGTGAGAACCATCTCCACAGCCCATGTTGCGTAAGTTTTGTTTCCCCTTTTTCCTGGCCGCTTGTGAAACCAGAATTTCTCACCTTGGCATCTTTTCACCAATCCAGCCAACAGTGAAGGAGGAAATCATCCCACCCACAGCAAATACAGAAACAGAGGTGGACCAGAGCATCATGACGGTGGGGTTTTTAAGGATGTCATCTGTCCCGTTTCCAGACGATGCAATATTCAGCACTTTACCGTAGTGGAGCATGATGATCTATAATGATGATACAAGTGCAATATTTACTAAAGATCCAAAACTTCTTATAGACTTTTTGCAGGAAAAAGAAAATGAGTTTACAATATCTGGGTTCGAGAACTGAAGAAAATATTGGTTTACAGAAAGTGGAATTGTTGGGTGTTAGTCTGGAGTGGATATTTTGAACAACTTTCTACATATAGCTGACAGACAAAGACAGAAGTTCTCTCATTTTTTTTGTCTTCCTTTTTCCTTCGTTCCTTTCTTTTCTTCTTCTTATCTTCTTCTTCCTTTTGGCTTGTGTTTTTATTTAGATTAGCTTTTTATATTGGATAAAAAGATATTGGACATTTGATACTAATCTTTGTATACCCCCCCCAACTTTATCTAATTAATAGATAAATGACAAAGTACTGTATTTTTTGCTCTATAAGACTCACTTTTCCCCTCCTAAAAAGTAAGGGGAAATGTGTGTGCATCTTATGGAGTGAATGCAGGCTGCACAGCTATCCCAGAAGCCAGAACAGCAAGAGGGATTGCTGCTTTCACTGTTCTAGCTTCTGAGATTCAGAATATTTTTTTTCTTGTTTTCCTCCTCCAAAAACTAGGTGCGTCTTGTGGTCTGGTGCGTCTTATAGAGCGAAAAATACGGTATATTAGTAATTTCGATGGCCCTACACTGCCCACAGATCGATCCTTTGGGATCCTAGGGGCTATTCATGTGATGTTAAAGCTGGCACCAAGTGTAGACTCACCAGGAAACTGCAGTCAGTCCTGCCTCTCTGATACACACAGGACCAATGATCAAATATGGCAAACCAAATCAAAACAAAAGAATAAGCACATTTACTCGCCTGTTGTGGAGCATTGATGACTCCAATGCAGTACCCATATTGGAAAAAGCCAAGGACTGCAGAGAAGACGGCTAAAAACAGGGTCCCTGTGACATCCTAGGAAAGGGGTAACAAACGAAGGCACAGCGTCACTTTTTATCCTTAAGTTTCTGGATTGAGGGCTAGATCTGGCATGCATTATATTCCAACCTTTCATTTTAAGTCAATCCAAAAACCATAAAAGGCAGTACGAGGAAAGCAGAGCTGGGGGACCTGTGGCGCTGCATTGGACTACAACTCCCATCAGCCTCTTGCCGGCACAGTCATTGGTCAGGGATGATGGGGGCCATTGTCTAACGATTGGAGGACCACAGTTTTCCCAGCCCTGGAACAAAGCACCTGAAAACAGACAGGAGTCAACATCTCCAACAATAAGGCGAGCACGAGGGTTAAGCATTGCCATGATGCTATTGGCATTAATGATATGTGGTGGTTAGCAAATCCGAGTTTCCTGCTTGCTACAAACTGAGCATCACATTGACCTTTCACTGCTGTGAAACCTGATGCAATTCCTTCCCGTTCCAAATGTGTGGTTTGGCTAAAGGGAAAATTCACATGGCCGCAATAATATGCCAAATTGTGGGTTAATAAAACCAGATGCAGCAGCTGGGGGCATGCTAATGTGACAGTTTTGAGTCAGTATCCCACTGAAAGAGCACCCCTTTTATTCTGCTCCTCTGCATAGGTAGGGTGGTGGGCAAAACCAGGATTATGTTCTTAGGTCACCTCATAGTGGGGCAGATTTACTGACCATGGCAGGGCTGCGCCACTCCCCCCACTATGTTTAACTTCTCTACAAATGACCTGAATATCAGTATATCGACACACCAGAATTGTTAGCTGAAAGGTAAATACAGTGGTACCTCGGGTTACATACGCTTCAGGTTACATACGCTTCAGGTTACAGACTCTGCTAACCCAAAAATAGTACCTCAGGTTAAGAACTTTGCTTCAGGATGAGAACAGAAATCGTGCTCTGGCGTACTTAACCCGAGGTACCACTGTAAAGCCTTTTTAAAGTGGAGATTCTCCTATCCCAGTCTGCACTGGATTTCAAATTCTGTTTGTGTTATGTAATGGTTTTCATATATGTTTCTGTTGCTGATGCTTTCATAGCTAATTTGCTTTGATATGTTTCATGGGATGCAATTTGTAAATGAAAGGGAATGAACAAACAAATGATCCCTTCACCGAACATTTATAAAGCACATTTTTAAAATGTTCAAACCACCTCACATATATGATCTCAATAACCCGCACTTATTCTACAGCTGGATGTGACAGCTCTTTTGGCGTTTCATATATAATGAGCCTGAGAAATGGCAAGTCTTATGACTTCATAGGAGAGCCAGTGTGATGTAGTCATTGGATTGTTGGGAGTAGGACCTGAGAGACTTGGCCATGAAACTCACTGGGTAACCAGTCACTGCCTCTCAGCCTAGCCTACCTCACAGGGCTGTTGTGGGCAGTAAATGAGGCAGGGGAGAACCATGTATGCCACTTTGAGGAGGACTGGCCCACCCAGGAGGCAAAGTGAGCCATCCACCTCAGGCATCAGGAGCCAGAGGGGCGGCAGATCCTGATGTAGATCTTTAGTCCCCCCTTGTTCCTGATGTTAATCTTCACTCACCCCTTCTTCCCTGGCAGGGAGGGGGCGCCATTTTGTAGTTTGGCCTCAAGTGCCAAAATATATTGGGCCAGCCCTGACTTTGAGCTACTCCTTCTTCCCTCTTCCTTCTTACTTCTGACACGTGTCATAGCCAGGGTTTCACCTCCTTTCATCCAAACTGAGAAACTGTGGTTTAATTTTGGGCCTGGATGTGAACCCAAAAGGGTAGTGGCAACCTGTACCCTGGAAAGATTTCACAAAACAATGCACAAGCTCTCAGATCTCTAGAACTCTTGCATCCTAAGTAGACTGCTGGAAAACATGACGTTTGCTCACTACTTTGTGACATTTGCTGCCCATGCATGGAACAAATGCCCCGGCAGAGCCAATCTGGCACTCCTGCTGATGTATTTGCACCACACTGGCCTCTCTGCTGTAACAACAACAACAACAACAACAATTTATTATTTATACCCTGCCCACCTGGCTGGGTTTCCCCAGTCACTCTGGGAGGCTTCTAACAAAATATTAAAAATACAATAAAACACCAGACATTAAAAACTTCCCTAAAGAGGGCTGCCTTCAGATGTCTTCTAAAAGGCAGATAGTTGTTTATTTCCTTGACGTCTGATGGGAGGGCATTTCACAGGGCGGGCGCCACTGCCAAGAAGGCCCTCTGCCTGGTTCCCTGTAACCTCACTTCTCACAAGGAGGGAAGCGCCAGAAGGCCTCGGCGCTGGACCTCAGTGTCCCACCTGAACGATGGGGGTGGAGACGCTCCTTCAGGTATACTGGGCCAAGGCCATTTAGGGCTTTAAAGGTCAGCACCAACACTTTGAATTGTGCTCAGAATTGGGAGCCAATGTAGGTCTTTCAGGATCAGTGTTATATGGTCTCGGCAGCTGTTCCCAGTCACCAGTCTAGCTGCCGCATTCTGGATTAGCTGTAGTTTCCAGGTCACCTTCAAAGGTAGCCCCATGTAGAGCGCATTGCAGTAGTCCAAGCGGGAGATAACTAGAGCATGCACTACTCTTGCGAGACAGTCCACAGGCAGGTAGGGTCTCAGCCTGCGTACCAGATGGAGCTGGTAGACAGCTGCCCTGGACACAGAATTGACCTGTGCCTCCATGGACAGCTGTGAGTCCAAAATGACTCCCAGGCTGCACACCTGGTCCTTCAGGGGCACAGTTACCCCATTCAGGACCAGGGAATCCCCCACACCCACCTGCCCCCTGTCCTCCCAAAACAGTACTTCTGTCTTGTCAGGATTCAACCTCAATCTGTTAGCCGCCATCCATCCTCCAACCGCCTCCAGACCCTCACACAGGACCTTCACCGCCTTCACTGCTACATTATCATCTCCCCCTTTTCTCCCTCCCAGTAAGTAGCAGTGAGCGACCCAGCTGTCAGCAGGTCAGGTGAGTGTCGCTGAAACTCATAACTCTACTGGCCATTATGGACAGAGTTCAGGCACACAATCCAGCCTGAGAAGAGAGAAAGGTCAAATATATTTTACTTAGCACAGGGAAAAAATCAATTTCCAGAAAGCATATATTACAAGAGATTAGCTTGAGAAGGCCCTAACTATACTACAAATCAATAATTTTTTTTTATACCTGTGAAACGGCCATCCTTCGGCCGTTGGGAGGCCTCCCAACAGAAGCAACTACGGACTGTTAAGGGCTGAGAATTCTGTGCCTGCTGCATCACAGAGCAATACTCTCCAAGGTTCCATGACATGATGGAACAACTATGCATCTTCCCTCTGCTCTGTTTACCAGGAACAGCCCCTAATCCATTTGTTTTCAAGTGAGATTTGGGGTTTTATTTATTTTTTTGGTGTGAAATGTTTCCTCCTGATTTTGGTTCCCTCCTTGGGTCTCCAGAAGTGCCTTCCTCAAAAATGAAGGGAGAAGAACCCAGGTGTTTTTAAAGCCCCTTTCAAAACTATAGCCTTCCCAAGACAAATTAACAACAACAACAACAAATTTTATTTACATCCGCCCTCCCCGGCCAAAGCCGGGCTCAGAGCGGCTAACATCATACAAATAAGACAATGCATAAAAACAAGCGATCAATAAATTAAGATGCATCCCACAATTAATTCAAACAAATTAAAATTAAAATTAAAACTGGACAAGTGGCAATTTAATAACCAATAACCAATATACTATTCCATTAAAAACAAAGGCTGAAACAGACAATTCCAATCACAATAAAACAACCCGTTCATAAAATCCAACAAATCTCATGCACATTTACTCAGACGTAACCCTGTTAGCCTCAGTGGAGCTTATTCTCAGAAACGTCTGTAGCCTTAGGGTGGGTATAGTAATCTTTGCTCACAAAGATGCAGGTTGGGCACATTTTATTGAGGTCCAGAAACAAGCACATAGGGAGGTCCAGATTAAAAGCAACACCAGCCCCTGCAATATTGTCCCCGTCCCCAGCCAGCTTCTGCGCAGAAAGCCTTGCAGCAACTCTGCAAAACATACAGTTCCAATCACAATAAAAAAGCCAGGTCATAAACTTCAATTCACTACATGTAGTGCAAGACTATGCACATTTACTAAAAGTACCGTATTTTTTGCTCTATAAGACTCACTTTTTCCTTCCTAAAAAGTAAGGGGAAATGTGTGTGCGTCTTATGGAGCAAATGCAGGCTGCGCAGCTATCCCAGGAGCCAGAACAGCAAGAGGAATCGCTGCTTTCTCTGCTCAGCGATCCCTCTTGTTGTTCTGGCTTCTGAGATTCAGAATATTTTTTTTCTTGTTTTCCTCCTCCAAAAACTAGGTGCGTCTTATGGTCTGGTGCGTTTTATAGAGCGAAAAATACGGTAATCCCCGTGTTCAACGGGGCTACTCCCAGACAAGTCTGAAGAGGGCAGTTACTTAGCCTGGGTATAGTGATTTTCGCTCACTTATGAAGATACAGGCTGCTCAGATATTACTGGGGTGCTGAAGCAAAGTACACAGGCAGGTCCAAATTAATGGCAACATCTGTCTCCAACCAGCTAAGAAACCTTTACAGGAACTTTGCAAATCAAAATCAAACACCTTTGCCCCCTGCCCGCCAAAACACACAGGTGCAATGTTCCAGGACTGCCAGTCCAACTTGTCAGAGGTAACATCCTGCACTGATCCCCCTCCATGACACATGTGTCCTTGTGGATGACCAAACCACACCACCAGGGACTCAGGCTACATTAGTAAAGAAACAACAATTTGAATGCGCTATAAACATGTAACACCAGATGGCACCAGAGGGCAGGAAATTTTTATACACGATTTCCCATAGGGTCCTCCCCCCTTTTTTATAACGATCTAATTGCTAACTTATTTATAGCGTTTTTCCCCTGTGTGTAGATCCACCCCCAAACTAGCCCAAGACATTTTGTTGTCAGAGATAGAGGTACAACTTGTGACCCCATCTCACACAAATCAATGTCCGTAATGGGACCCAGTACCAGATCAGTTGTTTTAGCCCTTGAGGCAGAAATTTCCACAGTCAGCCATAATGCAATAGTAATAAATGGAAAGACAAAAACAAAAACAAAAACAAAAATGCTATCCTTTAATGACATCTAAACATGGAGTGAAATCTGATTCAGTTGCATTTAAGGGTTACAGTTGTACCTTGGTTTAATCTGTTCCGGGAGTCCATTTGACTCCCGGAGCAGTTTGAAAACCAAGGCGTGGCTTCCAATTGGCTGAAGGAACGTCCTGCAGCGAATCAGAAGCCGGGGAAGCCGTGCCAGACATTTGGCTTCCGAAAATTGTTTGAAAACCAGAACAATCACTTCTGGTTTTCTATCGTTTGGGAGCCGAAACGTTTGTGTCCAAAGGCATTCAGTTCCGAGATTCCACTGTATTTTATCTGACACACCCTTTCTGAAACAAAATGCAAACTGAAACACAGCCCTCCTTCCAAAGAGTTCTCCTGATTTTGCAATGCAGCTTTCTAATCAAGTAATGTGTACAAAAATACATATACTAGTGTTACATGTGCATGTAAGTGCATATATGAATTTAAATAACATGCAAACGGGTATTATGCTAGGAGGAAATTGCATTGCAAAAATGCGTAAATTGCACTGAAATACTTTCTGCAAGGACTGAAAAACCAAATTCACAATCTGATGTGGAAGTGTGGTATTGGGTAGAAACTGAATCTGGACATCTTTGCCCAGTGAGAGAAAGGAAAACTGGCTGTAAAAAGAAGAGCACGTGGGAAGCCGCACAAAAGGAGGTAAACAAGATTTTTGGCTCGCATCTGTGTCAACGTTTATTTTCTTTTTTGCCTCCCTTTTGCTGACATGCCCCACAGCTCACGGGTGCCCTCCTGTTCTACTACGCATCAGTCCCCAACATGCACTGTCATGTAGGTAGACACATCAGCCCAGACACTCAAAATAAGAAAACCAGCCCTCTCTAAAACTCTGTGTATGGTGGCTGGGTGTCACAGGCCTGGTTTGAGGACAGTTTTCGTAACTGGAATGACAAATGATGATTGGCTGGAGTTGGGGAGAGGAAGGCTTCAAAACATTGAACAACAAAAGATTCTCTCTCTCTCTCTCTCCCTCATAACATTAGAACTCTTGGACATTCGAAGAAGCTGATTGTTGGAAGATTGGGGACAGATAAAAGATCGTACTTCTTCACACAATGCGTAGTCAAAGTATGGAACTCGCTCCTTCCCAGTCCAAATCCTCCACAAAGCGACTATTAGTTCCATGAGGAAAAAATATATTATCCCCTTTCCCCGTGATACTAATAGCAATTTAGAGGGGATTAAGATTGGACGCTGAGGAAAGCACAAAAGGTCCCACCTCCCATTGTTATTTACTGAGCCAGTCAAGTTCTGAGCACAGGACAGCCACAAAAATGTCTGGAGATCCAGCCATGGCTCCAACACAGAGCTGGGGAAGCTGCATCCCTCCAGATGTTACAAGACTACAACTCCCATCAGCCTCAGCCAGCACAGCCAATGGCCACGGATGATGGGAGCTGTAGTTCAACGACATCTGGAGGGTCACAGGCTCCCCATCTTACATCATGGCATCACAATAGTGACAATTACTGTCCAGTTTCCCAGCTCCATAATTGACAATATGATTATGTGTCCGAGTTTGCATGGAGCTTTTAAAGGAGGGTTATACACAGTCTGTACTGTTTTTGGGGAACAGGGGACGGCTGGGTGTGGAGGACTCCCTGGTCCTGAATGGGGTAACTGTGCCCCTGAAGGACCAGGTGTGCAGCCTGGAAGTCATTTTGGACTCACAGCTGTCCATGGAGGTGCAGGTCAGTTCTGTGTCCAGGGCAGCTGTCTACCAGCTCCACCTGGTACACAGGCTGAGACCCTACCTGCCCGCGAACTGTCTCGCAAGAGTAGTGCATGCTCTAGTTATCTCCCGCTTGGACTACTGCAATGCGCTCTACATGGGGCTACCTTTGAAGGTAACTTGGAAACTACAATTAATCCAGAATGGGGCAGCTAGACTGGTGACTGGGAGCGGCTGCTGAGACCATATAACACCAACCCTGAAAGACCTACACTGGCTCCCAGTACGTTCCTGAGCACAATTCGAAGGGTTGGTGCTGACCTTTAAAGCCCTAAACGGCCTCGGTCCTGTATATCTGAAGGAGCGTCTCCACCCCCATCATTCAGCCGGTACACTGAGGTCCAGCGCCGAGGGCCTTCTGGCGGTTCCCTCATTGTGGGAAGTGAGGTTACAGGGAACCAGGCAGAGGGCCTTCTTGGTAGTGGTGCCCGCCTTGTGGAACGCCCTCCCATCAGTTGTCAAGGAAATAAACAACTATCTGACTTTTAGAAGACATCTGAAGGCAGCCCTGTTTAGGAAAGTTTTTAATGTCTGGTGTTTTATCACTTCATTATTATTATGAATATTATTCCGTTGCTAGCTAACCTGACCTCTCAACAGCTGAGCCACTGCTGCATACCAGAATGAAGACAGGGAGAGGCAAGATGGTGGGGACCTTGGCATGGTGCAAACGCACCAGTGGACCCAGACGGGTGTGCCTGTTGGGGCATTTGGGCATTTGGGCATTTGGGCATTTGGGCTACCCTGGCCTTCCTGCCAGATTGCCCCTCCTCATCTTCCTCCTGGTAAGCTGTAGCAACTCCGCTGTCAGGAGGCCAGGTGAGGGCTGCTGACCCACCGACCCCATCAGCCGCTACTGCAGAATCTCATAACTCTACTGGCCATCACAAATAGAGTTCAGGCAGACAATTCAGCCTGAGAGGATGGGAGAGAGAGGTTGAATATCTTTTAGTTAGCACAGCAAAAATCCATTTCCAGAAAGCACATATCGCAAGAGATAAAAATGAGATTGAGAAGGTTCTAGCTATACAACAAATCAATTAAAGTTTTATACCTGTGAAACGGCCATCCTTCCGCTGTTGGGAGGATTCCCAATGGAATCACAGCAACTACGGATTGGTAAGGGCTGAGTATTCTCTGCCTCTTTCATCACAAAATAATACTTTCCAAGGTTCCATAAGATGAAGGAACAGTTACCCTTCTTCCAACTGTCCTGCATACCAGGAACAGCCCCATACTGCCCTCAAATAATAATAATAATAATAATAATAATAATAATAATAATAATTTTAAATTGGGGTGGTTTTTTTTTCCAGGGTGAAGAATTTTATTCTCCATTTTTTGGTTCCTGCTCTGGATTTCTAGAAGTACCCCCTCAAAAAACAAACCACACCCTTCAGGTATTTCTAAGCCCTTTTCAGGACTATAACTTTCTCAAGCCACCTCATTTTAATAACCAATATACAATTCCATTAAAAACAAACACAGTTCCAACCAGAGTAAAACAGAAAGTTCATAAAATTCAATAAACAGTATGCACATTTACTCGGAAGTAACCTACACTGTGTTCAATGGTGCTTACTCCAAGAACAGTCTGCATAGGACTGTAGCCTGCATGTAGCCTTTTCCCTCACAAAGAAACAAGTGGGACAGATATTACTGGGGTGCAAAACAAGTACACAGGGAGGTCCAGATCAAGAGCAGCATCAGATCCTGCAGTACCATCTACATCATCAACATCATCATCATCATTTCTTATTATTTATTAAATTTGTATACTGCCCTCCATCCAACAATCACAGGGCGGTTCATAACATAAAATTACAAATTGAGAACACAAAATATGTCCCCTGCTCCCAACAAATATCTGCCCAGAAATCTTTTGTGTGTGTGCGTGTGTGCTCGCATGCGCGCGCGCGCGCACACACACACACACACACACACACACAAACAATGTCTTGAGGTGCATTTCACGACAACAGAGCTTGAAAACTGCTGTAGACAACCTCTCGCACTAGTTATGCATCCTTATGAATGACCAAGTCAGAGCAGAAAGGGTACAATTCAACATGAGTTTATTCAGAGTACACCCAATGAAATTATTGAAGATTCCCAACTTCATTTCATTAATTACAATGGCTGTACTCTGAATTAAACTTACATGGCAGGTCACCTCTTGTTCAAGATTGAGTTGAGACTTGTGACCTCGCCAGAAGCTTGGGAATCACTTCCTGTGATATCTTTATTGGCTCAAGTTTGTATGTGATGATTTGCGCTTTTTTAAAAAAACCTTTTTATCTTGGAAATAGTAAAAACAGAAAAATCATATCATGCGAACCAGCCCCAAGGGTCAAACTATATGTTACCTCCCACATCTACCCAGCAGACGGGTGGGTGGCGCCACCCCACCTATCAATCACCTGATGTCATGACGGCACCAGCTGACTGACACCTGCCAAAGTTGACATTAGGTCACGGTAACAGTTGAAGTTTTGGCAAATTTCTTTGAAGGCACGCTTTGAAGGCACTGGAAACGTGCCTTCAAAGGGCTTCCCTGTAACAAACAATCAGCTGATTGATTTTTCTGTGCAGGTGCAAATGCTCGTAAAAGTAGAGTATTTCCCTCTCTGCAGAGAAAGCAGGTTGTGTTTAAAGTGTGAGAGGAAGCCCTTTGAATGCAAGCCATTGACCTCAGCTGATCCTCAGTCCTTGCAATGAGCTCTGTGCTGTGCTTTGAAGACCCAACAATCACCTGCCCCACCACTTAGGTCAAGCGTGCATAATGTCAGGTGTCAGGCAGGTGGGTTTAACTGAGCATATGGGCTGGAAGTCTCCCCCTTCCCCCAAGCAGGAGAGCCATGACTGGATGCTCCCCACCCCAATGAACAGTTGATTGAAGCAACGACTCTGGGATAGAGGGTGTTTATCGCTTCATCACTGTACCGTTTCCCTGGTAGAGCAGTAGAGACTTAGGTCTCCAGCTGGACTACAGTTCCCATCATCCCTGACTACTGGTCCTGCTAGCTGATGATGATGGTATTTGTAGTCCAAAAACAGCTGGAGATCCAAGTTTGGGAAACACTGCTGTAGAGCTAGCCCACAAAAGCTGCTATTAGTCACACGAGGAAAGAAATATATTGGGTTGTAGTCAATGAAGTTTTATTCAGAGTAGAACTACTAAAAGGAATGAGCACTGACCAAGTTAGGTCTATTAATTTCAGTGGCCCTACCCTAAGTACAACTTAATTGTATACCACCCATTATATCCCCCATTGTGGGACTAATATCAATTCGGAGGGGGTTAAGAGTGAGAAAATCTGACAGCCAGTGTGGCATAGTGGTTAGCGTTCTGGGAGAGGACTTGGGTGACAGGAGTTCTAAACCCCTGCTCAGCCAGGAAACTCACTGAGTAATTTTGGGCCAGTCACAGTCTCTCAGCCTAACCTACCTCATGGGGTTGTTGTGAGGATAAAAGAGGGAGGAAGTTAGGACCACGTTTGCCACCTTGAGCGCCTTTGCAGAAACATGGGGTGTAAATGTAAATAAATGAATAAATAAGACATTGAGGCAAGCATAAAAGACACCCAGTCAAGTTCTGAGCGACTTCTAGGTAAAGGGTAAAGGGACCTCTGACCATTAGGTCCAGTCGTGGACTACTTGGGGGTTGCGGCGCTCATCTCGTTTTATTGGCTGAGGGAGCCGGTGTACAGCTTCCGGGTCATGTGGCCAGCATGACTAAACTGCTTCTGGTGAACCAGAGCAGCACACGGAAACACCATTTACCTTCACGCCGGAGCGGTACCTATTTATCTACTTGCACTTTGATGTGCTTTTGAACTGCTAGGTTGGCAGGAGCAGGGACCGAGCAACGGGAGCTCAGCCCGTCACAGGGATTTGAACCACCGACCTTCTGATCGGCAAGTCCTAGGCTCTGTGGTTTAACCCACAGCGCTACCCGCATCCTTGAGAGACTTCTACTTTGAAGTAAAAACAAAAAATGTCTGGGGAAACCAGTTATAGCTGTAACACAGAGCTGAGGAACATGTCATAGTTTGAGATGTCATAGGACTACAACTCCTATCAGGCTCTGCCAGCACAGCCAGTGAGCAAGGCTGATGGGAGTTGTAGTCCAACAACATCTTGAGGGCCACAAGTTCGCCAGCTCTGCCTCACATGTGGTTTGGGGTTGTTGGCTGAAATCTTTATCCTGGCCTTCGGCACCTGAGATGTGTTTTCAGGGTCCACCCTATTCTTGCGAACGTAATATGTTTTAACTTCTGTAGTTTTAAAATTGTTGTGGCCCGCCCTAGGACCTGTTGGTGGAAGGTGGGTCATAGTAATAACAAGAATAATAAAAAAATATTGACACTCTTCCGCTACACAGTTCTAGGATCTAGGCTGAAGGCTGTTGATTGATAGGGAACATATTCAATCCAATCGGAGAAGCAAGTGGGCTGATACAGTTTACTATTTCTCTACAAAATGGAAGTGTTTAGAATGTTGTTGACTGGCTCAACCAAACAAACATCACATTTCATATTTGCTAAACAGAGGAAACGTGCAAAGCAGAATGAAAAAAAGTTGTCATGAAAAGAGTATGCTTGATATGCATCAAATTCACCAGAGCAGCCCTTTGTGTAAAATCTATTGACAGCATGTTTTATCCATGAGAGATTCAGAATAAGATACAATGCGTGATTTCCTCTGTTTTGTAGCTTTCAATCTTAAGTGACAAAAATAGAGATTCCTCGCTATTCTTGACATTTCCCCTTGCAGTTACAAAAACCACCTTTCCCCTCTTCTTCCCGTTTTCATTATTTGCCATTTCTTCCGTAATAAAGGTGTCATTAGCTAATTCAGATACGGGGGACATGAATTCCCATTTGGAAGTCTGGTGAAGTATCATAGGGATAAAGGGAGCTGTCTTATACCGAGTCAGAACATTGGTCCATGTTGCTAAGTCCTGTCTACACTGACTGACAGAGGCTCTCTAGGGTGCCAGGCAAGGATCTCGTAGGCATACCTGGAGATGCTGGGATGCTCTACCACTGAGCTACCAGCCCTTGCGCGATCTTGAAATCAGTGTTACCTTCATTAGTCCGTCCTTCGGTTTCTTTCCCATCGCCTCCGTCTTCCTCGATTGATCCACGTAACCCAAAAAAGCTCGGGCTGGTCACTTGCCAAAAGGAAGGCATGCAACAGAATGGCCCCCTCACCTCGACTTGAGCTTGTCACATAGAGAACTGTGTAAAGATAGGCATTCTTAGGACGTTTATAACCCCTCAGGGGGAGGAGGAGGAGGAGGAGGAGGAGGAGGAGGAGGAAAACTTGGAAAGAGGCGATGTGGGGAGGGCTGTGGGGAAAGCTTATTTGTGGCCAGGGAGGATAGAATTAATCAACTTGAATGTTAATGAAAAACCCAAGCACTCCTTAGTGTTTACCTTCTTTTCCCCGGCTGTTAAAATAGGAAAAGTGCAAAGGGCACGGGGACTGCACATCGATAAGCCCACCTAAGTGGGCTGGAATGCTCACTTGCGAGTGTGTCGCACGCTAGACATTCATTCAGAGACAAGGAATTAGAGAGACAAGACGGGTTCTTTATTTCAAAGCACGCAGATTCTGTTCTTCTGTTCACAAGGAACACCCAAAGTGGCTCATGACTGCCACAATTAACCAAGGTAAAGGTAAAGGGACCCCTGACCATTAGGTCCAGTCATGACTGACTCTGGGGTTGCGGCGCTCATCTTGCTTTATTGGCCGGGGGAGCCGGCGTACAGCTTCCGGATCATGTGGCCAGCATGACTAAGCCGCTTCTGGTGAACCAGAGCAGCACATGGAAACGCCGTTTACCTTCCCGCCGGAGCGGTACCTATTTATCTACTTGCACTTTGACATGCTTTTGAACTGCTAGGTTGGCAGGAGCAGGGACTGGGCAATGGGAGCTCACCCCGTCACAGGGATTCGAACTGCCAACCTTCTGATTGGCAAGTCCTAGGCTCTGTAGTTTAACCTACAGCGCCACCCATGTCCCACAATTAACCAAAGGACACGTTAAATGTGGGGGTGCCAATCTGAATAAAATATGGGGTGGGGCAGGTAAGCCCCACATGCAAAATCACGCATATGATGCAGTGCATGCACATCATTTGAATGGCAATGCCAATCAACTGGCCCCCTCAAATATTTTATTGGGGGGGATGAAAGCCCCTCGGTCCCTAGGAGTGGGCTCGCTCTTATGGTTAAATGACAAGTCAACATATGCTGGCAGGAACATACCAGGGGTGTCCACAACAGAAAAGGTTCTGCAGGGAGGGGGACATGCCAGGGAAGATGGTTCTATATTAATAAAGTGATAATTTGTTATCCAGCCAGACTTTTGCAGTATGCAGGCATTCAGCTTATACAGAACTCCTAACCGGACTGAATGGAATACAACTGCATGTGTAGCTAAGAACTGACTACCACAGCATTTTGCCTAACAAGTCAAAAAAGTGGGTATAATCTTACAAGAAGAGATATTGATCCAATCAAAATAGCACTTTAATAACTCTGTATTTCAAAAACTGCTGGAGTGCAGAGTTAGTAAGGTATTATGGCCAGGGTAATTAAGAATATGTCTCTCAAAATGCATCCTGTATAGAATCATGGTATTGTAGAGCTAGAAGGGACCTGAGGGTCATCTAGTCCAACCCCCTGTAAGGGGATCGAACCTGTGAACTTGGTGTTATCAGCACCACACTCTAGCCAACTGAGCTATCTAGAAATGCTACGAACCTCAGCTTGGGAAAACTGCTGCTATCTTACCTGGGGGTAGGTCCCACTGAACTCAGCAGAGCTTACATCTGAGTAGACATTGCAGAGGCTTGCACTACCAGCGTCAAAAAATGTACCTGCTCCATGAGCCAAACCCATTTATTACGAAGTCCAGTCTCTGGCTAAGTCCATAGTGCACTCTAATAAACTTAATAGAAGATCAAATATTTATGGTTAACACCACCCGATGAAGATAATCTCTGCTTGATAACACTCTTCCCAAGTCTGGGAGCAATCCTACTCCACAAGAAGCAGGCCTAAAGCAAGGCAGTGTAAATTAACATGTATAAACGTTACACCAGACCCAAACCCCATTCCTCAGTAGGGTGACTGCCATCTGCTCTTCCTAAGCCTGGCAGAGGGAAAACAAGCCTTTAAAACAGGGTTCTTTGGTCTTTGTGCCAGGTTTCCAGGTCACACGAATGAACTGAACGGGCTTAGGATTCAACCTGAGTCCCCCTTCTGTGGTCCTTCCGCTGCTGCCACCCCAGAGCATCTCCTCTGAATGAATCAAACTGGGCTTGGATTAGCCAGCTTTGGCTTGGCTATGGCTGAGCTCCAGCTGAGCTGGGAAGAGCATTCTACAAATGCTAAACCAGGTGAGGGTAGCCATTGGTTCTGAACCCTCAGTGAGTTAGGGACTTCTCCTGCATGTGAAGAATCCAGTGGATTGAGTGGATGAGACCAACAGTAGGTCCAACGGTCAAGAAGGTGATATCTGCATGTGCTGTAGAGAGAAGTGAGGGGCAAATGGGGCTCGTCCACCTGGGAAGCCCACCTAGGAGATGGAAAACTCTGGCTCTAAACCTCAACTGCCATGTGGGGCATCTTCGGGAGAAGAAAAAGCTAAGGAGTAAAACTTACACAGATCCAGAGTGGAGCCCCTATGATGGTTGGATGGAGCCTTGTATGCTTCCTTCCAGCAACACCTGCAGCCAAGCTGGTGCCGAACGTGTTGTTCTGCTTTCCGTAGCTCAGTCACCTCAATCCTGGCTGGGATGGAGGAAATACGCTGGTGCATCTTCAGCCAAGCCAAGGATAGGGAGTTACAGTGATGACAGGGACGGCGCGGGGACGCGGGTGACGCTGTGGGTTAAACCACAGAGCCTAGGACTTGCCGATCAGAAGGTCGGCACTTCGAATCCCCGCAACGGGGTGAGCTCCCGTTGCTCGGTCCCTGCTCCTGCCAACCTACCAGTTCAAAAGCACATCAATGTGCAAGTAGATAAATAGGTAAACGGCGTTTCCGTGCACTGCTCTGGTTCGCCAGAAGCGGCTTAGTCATGCCGGTCACATGACCCAGAAGCTGTACACCGGCTCCCTCGGCTAATAAAGCGAGATGAGCGCTGCAACCCCAGAGTTGGTCATGACTGGACCTAATGGGGTCCCTTTACCTTTACCTTAACCTGGTTGCACTGTGAGCCTTCTAGCTCAGCCATAGATCTGTTGGATCCTAGCCCCACTCATCTTGCTGAATCTCGGTTTAGGATTGCGCCCTTAGTTATGCTCATTAATTCCAGTGGGTCTTCTCTGCGTAAAAGTTAGGAGAAGACCACATGTGGTTTCCAGAAACAGTTATCATATTTTACAAATGTATTCGAGTTGCCCAGAACTACGATGTCTAACTGCAGTGGCCGTATTAATACATATTAAATCTATATAACTGTATCACTGTGAACAGCATTCAGAATTCTACTTAGTGCTTTCCCAGTGCATCTTCTTTTTAGAGGAATCATAGGAAGGCACTATTTTCCTATCAGCTCATCCACTCTTGTCTTCTTGTCTGGGGACACGATTAATCTTTGCAGTACACAATTAGCTACAGGCAATGAGCTTGACTTGGCTCTTCTAGGTCATTAGCACTGATCTGGTCTGGTCTGGCTGGCAGCAGTTTCATTGGTCTCCACCGGCACGATCAAGAATTTTCCACTTTTTGTCTCAGTGACTGGTCATCATGATGAAACACCGCAAGCTTCAGAGAACGCTCCACCTTCTAACCACCTTTCTTAATGGGAGATTGAATCTGTGTTTGCCTCTGTCCTTCGAGAAAGTCTCACATGAGTCAAAGATGATGAAGAAGATACATGATGGATGCCCATACAATAAACATTTCTCTTTTTTTTTTAATGGGACATGCACACTGTCCAACCAATGCTGCCTGTCAGGTACTTTCCACATGGCAAAAAATGTGCTTGGCTAAAGACTAATCTTTGCTCTGGTTGCAAGTAAAACTTTAACCTGCAGAGAAAAGTTCACTCCTCCAGTTATGCCAACTGATTTTCCTGGTGCAAAGGAGTTTTTGTCAAAGGGATTAGGATGTTCCATTGCAAAGCATGCATGATAATCCTGGGAGGGCTCTCTCAAGGACTCTCAACACTGGGATTTTTTTGGCTGTATATTCTGCAACACGTCACCAGTGCCATAATAGCGCATTAGTGGCGGATTTATACTGAGCTGTCCATACGTTTTTCCACTTTACCCATTGCTCTCTGATGCCTCCCCAATGTTATTGCATTAATGCCGCCTGAAGGGGCACTCTTGCAACAAAAGCCAGACCAAAAAAATAAAATAAACTGGAACATTTGTGATACAAAGAGTTACAGGATTTGAAGCAGTAAGATGCATGGACTGGAAACAAAACAATATGTCCACCCTGAAACTTTTGCAGGCACAAATTGTATTGAAAGTGGAATCGTGTTTAAGAACCACCATCATGGGCACAAATAATCGAGAAGAGGAATGTCTGGAGGTGCCCCCAGAACTATGTCCTACCAAGTTCAGCGGCACTTACTCCCAAGTAAGTTTACTTAAAACAGCAGCCTCAGGGCCAAACTGGATATTTTTTGGGAAATCATAAATAAAATAAGGTACCCATGAACGTAAACAAGTCAAACACAGCATGCATCAGAGGCTTGTGCAACAATAGATGCTGTTTTTGTTATTTTACCCACAAGAACATATAAGAAGAGGCTGTTGGATCTAGCCCAACATCTTGTTCTTACGCTGCAACCAGATGCCCACAGGAAGCACACAAGCAGGACCCGAGCGCTAGAGCACCTTTCCTAAGGTCCAATAACAATATTACTATTATTATTATATATCTATTTATACACCAGTATGTTATAAATTCTTCTGCAAGGGCCAAACTATCCAAGAGAGCCAGGAAAGTGAATAGTGAGGATGTCTGTTGAACCTCTACTGCAAGAGTGTTCCAGAGCATACACAGGATCAGTGACACCAAATTCCCAACTTCTGGTTGAGGTCAGTTGGGCCTCTGTAAAATGGGGGACAACTTGCAGCACTCTTCCAGATAATCTCAGTGATTAGACTGGGATATAATGGATCCAGCAGTCCTTAAGGCATCCTTGCCCTCATTGTGGAGTTAAGTGTGTCTACTGCCATGCATGTCTGTGGGCAGGAGATCTTTGGTGGGGACCCATCTTGAAGCTGAGCCAACCACTATAACATCTACTTAGCCTCATAGATTTAATTTTGAACGACAAATGACAGGAGGCCCAACCTGGTGCCTTCCCAGTGTTTTGAACTATGACTCCCATCAACCCCATCCAGCATGGGACTTGGGAGTCCAAAACAGTGCTCCCCTGGATCACATGGTATGTAAGAAGATAGGCATTCTGACTCAGCCAGCTGAGATGCTCCTCCTCAAGATGATCCTTGAAAGAAGCTGCAATCGCAATTCATTCAGCGTCTGGTCTAAATCACTTTACTCCTAAAGAGATGTGGCCAACCTTCTGCAGATTGCTTCTTGTCTCCAGTTGACTAGTTTTAGTATTGGTTGGGCACATGCCAGGTCTTTGTGGTATTGACATTCAGTGTAAAGTCACATTCACATTCTGTACATTCTCAAATGCGTATCTTTGAGCCTCATCGGACAACCACCATTTGATTAGAGTGAACCATTGTTGGAGTTTGCTCCACATTAACCCGATAGCAGAAGGTATAATGGGGTGACTGTTTGCAGCTTTGATTAATCATTCATCTACAAAGACTTGCCTACAGAGTAGTGATAGAATTCAGGCTTCTTCCATCGGGAAATATTCATTACATATTGCAGGCTTTAACTCAATATAGAAACCCGACCATCGCTTACAGACTTGGGCATTTCATTATTCAGCAGAGATGCCCTTGTCCAGCTGTTGGGAAGATGGACATTTGCTTGGAATCTGTAGAACCTAAACAACACCCAGCTTTTCATCACCGGGGGTCTTTCATAGTTTGGCCTGGAAATGCCAGGAACTGAACTGAACCTGGGAGATTTTGCATGCCTGTTATGTGCTCACCCGCTGAGTTGAGGGAGAAGGTCCATGTTTTGATGGTGGTTCTCCATTCCAGCTTCTTTACTTCCCTTTTCAGAAATTAGTTGAAGCCGTTCACTTCTGCAAGAAGAGACCACATGTTGCCTGTAATATGTACTGACAGGTATTTAACTAGTTAATAATATTAGTTTATTACTATATTCGATGCTGCAGAGGAAAACTGAGATTGCACCCAGCCGCTACTGGATGTGGCCTGCACAGCCAAAGTTTACAGCACAAAATCAAATTAATAGCTTTGATGGCCTTGAGGTGGACTTCATTATTAGCACAAATATTAACTTGGCAGGAAAGCTTGTGATTCAATCTGTACTTGCGATTGGAATTTGATCGCCTTAAATGAGCTCTCTCATCTGCTGATTATTAATTCTTGCTACAGTCGGGAAACTACAAGCAATAAACTCGGCTGGATCTGCATGGCCAGGCAGGAGCAGTATTTTTTAACTGAGACATGCACTGGGCACAAAGCTCAGGAAGCGGCAATGTTAGAGGCTTCTTTTGACTATCGAGTTTTTAGCGCAGCCATCTCCCCTTGAAATTGCACTTTACACAAACTCCTCCTGCCATCATTGCTTACCTGGAACGGTCTATGTTTCCTAGGAACTGACTGC